CCACTCCCGACCCCGCGCTCCCTCCCGGGCCCCTCCCGCCGGGCCGGGCCGGGCCGCCCCCCGCCCCCCGCAGGACCCCAGGCCCCGCCCCGCCCCGCACTCACTCCTCGGCCATCGCGCCGGGGGAGGCCGCGCTCCCCGCGCACTGCGCACGCGCCGGTGTAGCCCCGCCCCTCGATGTAGCCCCGCCCCTCGATGTAGCCCCGCCCCTCGAACGCACTCCCGCCAAATCCCCGCCCCGCCGCGTGGGCGCTGTTGGGCATCGGGCTGTGGCGGCGCGCGAGCTCGTGGTCTGCTTTCCCGCCGCCTCTCCCCGTGACGGCTCCGGGCCCGGTGTGTGGTTTCCTTACTGCTGCCCCGGCAGCAGCGGGAAGGAAGCACCGGCACCGCCGGGGTGTGGAAAAGTGGCAAGCGACGTCTGGGCGCAGAGCAGGCCGGCCTACAGCTGTCCTCGGCGGGCCGCGGCCCCAGGCGCGGTGCGGAGCCACGCGGCCACCGGGCAGTTCGGGAGCGGCCGCCCGCGGCGCCGCGGAACCACGCGGCCGTCGCCCGCCCTCCGTGCGTGGGAACGGGGCTGGCGCGGTGCCGCCGAGGGACGGCTGCGGCTCTGAGCGGGGCCGTGGGCCGCTGACTGGGGAAGGGCGGTGCCGCCAGACGGGAAGCGGCTGTTTGGGGCGGACGGCAGCGCCGCTCTGCTTGGCCCGCGGCAGGAACGGGGCTGCGGCCTGACGCTCCCTTCCCCAGCTGCGCTCCCAGCCTGGCCCCTTCCTTCCCCTCCACCCAGCCGGCGGCACTGCGGAAAGCGGCGTGGGGAACCTGCGGGTCCCTCGCCAGGAAGCGAGTGGGGCTGTTGGCCGCTCACGTCCAGGCGTGCTCCCACAGCTGAGCCCTGATCCTGACTGCCCCCGCATCTGAGCCTCTTTGAGCCTCTCCTGCTGAGTCAGGCAAATGCAGGGAAACTCGCTGCCCCTTTAGCCTTCCCTGTCATTGGCTTGAGAGTGAGTAGAAAGTGCTGGGGTGGGCTCAGGTACGGTGATACGCCCCCAGCGCAGTCCCAGCCCGGCCGCAGCCGGTGGGAAGATGCTCCTCCGAGCACAGCCACAGCTCCTCTGCTGACAGCTCCTGCTCTCACCACTGGCAGAGCCTGGAGAATGGGTTGCACCCCGCTCAGGTGGCAGCGCAGCCCCTGCAGCCTCGCTGCCCATGCTGGGTTGATGGCGAGCCCCAGGGTGCAATGGGGGAAGCTGTGGGTGAGTCAAAGCAGAGCAGGCAGGCACCCGGGCTGCTTCTGGGGCCGTGTGCCATGGAGCAAGGCCGGCAGCAGGGCTTGGGACATCTGCATCCCAGCCCAGAATATGGGGAAATGTGTCCCCCACTGACAGGCTGAGTCCCCTTCACAGCACCGCAGCCAAGGGCTGGGGGGAGCTTGCAGAATGGGGCTGGGGAGCAGTGGGTGCTGGCAGACTGCCCCAGCTGTGCAAGGAGTGGCCGCTGAGATCACCGGGTGTCACTCTGGCAGAGGCTCCCGCTGCCGGCTGCGGGCTCCAGGGGTGTGACAACAAAGCAGGATGGAGCTGTGACCCCGTGCCATGGCCTCAGGGGTTCCCATTACTGCCGAAGGGCTTTCAAGTGCCAGGAGCACGTCGGCTGCCACACAGCCTGCACATAGCGTGTGGAATATGTTGCAGCAGGAATGTGCAGCACAGCAATAGAATACTTCCAAAGCAGGGAGGGTCCCCGTGAACTGCAATTCTCTGCTGTGTGATTTGTGCTCTGTGGGTCCCATGAGTGGATTTTAAAGGGAAAGCTCTGGGCTGGAGCTTAGCCTCTGGCAAGCATTGAGATGAGCTCGCGTGGCCTAAGCTCCATCCGCGGGTGGGGACTCTGCAGAGCCAGCACCGCGCTGCCCCGAGGTGGGAGCTGAGGTGGCATGGGGTGAAGAGGAGCGCTGCAGCCGAAGTCCCCTGCCCCATCCTCACCTCCTGTCTGCTTGAGGCTCACACCCACTGCAGTACCACTGCTGTCCCTTTCAACCCCACCCGTGCCCCTGGGGCAGGTGCCCTACAGTGCCATGAGCACAGGGTTGGGGCTGTAACGCCCCCGAGCCTCCAGCAGTACCCCTCCCGGGACGTCCTGCTCCACTGTCCACTCCCCCCCGCTGCCGGGCTGCCTGCCCTCCACGCAGGAGACGAGGGATTTCACAACCCAGCCCAGACAGGATTAAAGAGAAATACACAAGTAAACAAACAGCGGCCTTGTGAAGCGGCTGTGCTGCGGGAGCCCCTCTGCTGCCCGGGGTGAGGTGTGGGGCGATGCCCAGGGGTCCAACATTTGCTGCACAGCGGTGGGGTCCTGTGGGGAGGGCTGCCTCAGAGCAGCACTAAGTAATCTCATTTTTCACACGTCTCCTGTAGTTCAAACTGCCCCTGTCAGAGGAAAGGAGTTGCTTCCTGTTATTTCCATTGAAATCCTTGTCCCGGTCGCTAGCCCACAGGCTCCGGCAGGATGGCACCGTGTGCGCAGATGGGCTCTGGCCGCCTCTCCCGAGGGCTCCTGCTGCTCTGCGGTAAGTGCACGGCCCCACACCACGCGGCTGCACCGGGCTCGCCGCAGGACTTGCGCCGGGCAGTGGTGAGCGGGACACGGGTGCGAGGGCGGCCATCCCCAGCACCACTGGGCACTGTGGGCGGCCCCTTCCCCTTGGTGGGGAGCGATGGAGCATCCGTGGGGACCTGGACTTGATGGCAGCGGGAGAATAGCCGTGCCTTGGGCAGGGAGCATGTCAGCACCAGGGGACTGGGTGCTGGGGGCACATGGGCTGTCCTTGCTGCCACAACTGTGCCAGCCCACAGCTGCTGTGTCATCTCCACAGCACACTGCCAGCCAGCACAGGCCACAACAAAGTAGCTTCCAGGTGGCACGCCATGCCCATACTGAGGGTAGAAAACAGACAGGCGTGATCCTGATCCTGGCAGAAGGGTGGAGGGGTTTGGTGGGGCCTGGGGGGCTATGCCCCATGCCAGCAATGGGTTCCACAGAGGGGGGGGTGACAGGAGGCTCTGCTTCATGGCCGTGCTGCACTGCGGTCAGCACTTCCTCTTCCTGATTGGAAATAGGTACTCCCCCCCAGTGCCAGGCGCTGGGCATGGCACAGCCCCACTGCTGCTGGTGGTTCTCAGTCCCCCACCATCACCCTCCATCCCATCATCCCACCGCCCCCTGGGCCTCCTCATAACCATCATCGCTGCGGAGCTGTGGCTGCGCTCCCTCCTGCAGTGCTGAGCATGTCCCCCCCTCACAGCGCTGCTGGGCCATGAGTTTTGCCATGTGGGTGCCACAGTGGAGGACTTTGGGCAGGAGGCAAGAACAAGCCCACCGGGGCCCATGTACAACATTACGGATGAGCTGGTGGGTGAGTGTCGTCCCCACTCCTCATCCCCAAATCCCTCCAAGGCTGCACTGTGGCTGCACTCAGTGCCCATCCCCACACAGAGGAGATATACACCAACTTGACACATCGTTGCTGGGAGTCCTTCGTGCAGGTGATGCAGAACGTGACTGGCGCACAGCTGTGCGAGTGGAAGGTCATCAGCAGGTAGGGGCAGGTGGGGGCACCAAGCCAGAGGGTGGAGGGCAGCCCAATGCCCCGCACTTTCTCTGCAGGCCCTACAGCTCGCTGCAGCAGTGCCTGGAGGACTGGGCTGACAACCTGAAATACAGTTACCCCAATGCCTTGGCTGAGAGCTACATCTTCCAGAGCCACCACCGCTACTTCCAGAACTGCTCGGCCGGCAGCCAGGCCTACTTCGACCCCCCCGAGGACGTGCTGCTGGCCATGATCATCGCCCCCATCTGCCTCATCCCCTTCCTCGTCACCCTGGTCATCTGGCGCAGCAAGGACGGCAAGGCGCAGCCGTAGGTGCTGCCATGCAGGCACAGCCCCGGCGCTCGTTGCCCCGGTGCGGGGCTGCGCTGGGCGGAGAATCCCCCGAGGGTTCACCTTCCCCGGGCACTGGGCAGTAAAGGTTTATTCTCCCCACGCCTCGGCTGCCTCTTCTGCGCTCGTCCCTGCCCGGCTCCACCCTGGGGCCCCCGGGCGGCTGCGGTCACTAATCGAGGCGGGCAGCGACGGAACGGCAGCAGTGGGCGGAGCTCGTACCTGAAGGGGGGGGTCTCGACGTCCGTGGGGCGGGGAGGGAAGAGAGGGCGTGGCTCCACCGGACGGAGGGGGCGTGACGATGGGGAGTGGGCGGGGCGATGAGGCGGGGCGGAAGTGCGCCCGTGCAGGCCGGAAGCTGGCGGAGGTGGTTCCGGTGTCGGCGGCGATGAGCTTCGCGTGGCCCTGGCAGTACAGCTTTCCGCCCTTCTTCACGTGAGCGCCGGCCGGGCTGCGGTGGTGGGGTCTGGGCAGAGGGGTTGTCGGGATCGGGTAGGGGCGGCAGCAGCGGGGGGGGGGGGAACCGGGGCCGGGGTGAGGCCTCAGCTCTTCCCGGGCGCTGAGCGGAGCCCCGCAGGCTGCAGCCCAACGGCGAGACGCGGCAGAAGCAGCTGGCGGCCTGGTGCGCCCTGGCGCTCGCCTACAGCCGGCGCCAGCGTCTGCCCGCCATGACGCTGCGCGAGGCCCAGGACAGCCCGCTGTTCGCCAACCGCCGTCTGCAGAGTATCCTTGGGCCCGGTCCGGTCCCGCTCCGCGCCTCCCCTCTCCTCCCTCCCGCACGTTGGATGTCTCCTTAACCCCCTGCCTAGGAAAGCTGCCGCCCGAGGCCATCCAGGTGGTGCTGGAGGAGCTGCGCAAGAACGGTGGGTGGCGCCGTTCTCTGCCGTGGCCGCCCCGGTCCGTGCCCACACCGCCCCTGGGGCCTTCGTGCAGGAGCCCTGCGGCTGCCGTGATGCGTGGGGCGGTGGTGCCAGCCGAGCTCTGCTGAAGTGCCCTTTCCCAATTGGTTTCAGGGAACCTGGAGTGGTTAGACAAGAACAAAACCAGTTTTATGATAATGTGGAGAAGACCCGAGGAATGGGGGAAGCTCATCTATCAGTGGGTGAGAATGCAGCAGCTTCCCTAGTGCACAAGCTGGGTGCTCCCAGCTGGGAGGACAGGTGATGCTGACTGAGATTGCGTAAAAGACTGCTGTCACTTCCTTTCCCTCTTGCTTTCTCACTACTTCTGTTTTGATCTTTTCCATTCATGTATGAAGGTATTAACAACTTTTTTCTCTTAACATAAGGTGAGATTCAAGCAGTGGATGCAGAGGCGGATGCAGCATTTCCATTGTATGCCCTCAGTCCTTAGTGCAATGCATGTTCTTAAGGCTTGGACAGAAAGAGCATAGAGTGTGGGGGACAGCACAAGGAATGACATCAGCATCCTTAGATGTCATTTCTCACCTTTCCAATGTCCCAGAACATTCTGAGGGTGCTTTTGCTCATCATATGCCATCTATATTACATATCATTTTTGATGAGATGTACAAGAGATTCATGCCAAGGTTATTAACGAACACATGGAAGATTTGCTCTATTGCTTTCGTGTTCCCAGGTGTCAAAGAATGGCTTGACCAACTCTGTGTTCACACTGTATGAGTTGATCAGTGGAGATGATACAGCAAATGAAGGTAATGTCATGTGTCATGTCCTGCAGCTTTTCAGAGCACACTTGATTTGAGTGCAGAGACGAATGCCAGATCATAGTTCTGTAAATTAAGTATTTTAAAATTGTTATATCAGCTCACATTGATCATCACTAGGAAATGCAGGTCCACAAGCTTTTTAGTACTCTGCATTAACTTCTGTTTATGTTTGCAATTTATGCTGCCCACTCTGAGCCTTCCTAGCGCCCAGCTCTTTGCCCGATGTGGGATGCAGGCTTATTTCCTGCCCAGCTTCTTAGCTGTCTGAGAGGCAGCTCTTACTCACTGCCTCCTGTCTGCTAACCTTCAGGCTTTGTTTCTGATGCAGCAGTGTGCTGATGACTGTCGGTTTAGCTGTGATTGTGGATTTGTGTAGTGTTATGGTGCAGGAGTCTAAAAGGTGCCCTTCAGAGCCCTCTGTCTTCACTGTCATTGTTCCATAGACATCATAAGCCTGTTCATTTCTTTATGTGAATCTTGTTCCTGCTGATGAGTATGTCTTTCCTTCCCTAGAGTTCCATGGTTTGGATGAGGCTATGCTACTTCGTGCCCTGCAAGCCTTGCAGCAAGAGCACAAGGCTGAAATCATCACGCTGGACGACGGCCGAGGCGTCAAGTTCTTCTGATGGAAGCCCCCTCCCTGCCTCTCTTTGGCTGCTGAAACGTTTCTGGCTGTGAAGATTCCAACTCCTGGCCTGGTTTCAAGCAGTGGCGCAAGCAGCTGTGTACTCAGAACGTCCTGGGGTGCAGAAAATCTGTAAAGCCTTCCAAAGACATGACTTCTTGTCCTGTTGCTCTTTCCCTGTTCCTGTGAATGCAGCGGATGGGTGCTCTGGTGACTGGTCAGGCACAGCCGCCAAGGGGCTCTCCTCCCACCTTCCAGCTGCGTGCCTGGGCTCTGCAGCCCTCACCATGTGGCTGAGTGAGGTGAAGGCAAACATACTGAACACGTTGTTGCTGCTGTGGCATAAAAGACCTTTCTGAAAGCTGATACACTCTTGCTGCAAAGCAGGCTGTTCTGTGTGGTGGGGTGGATTTCAAGGAGCTAATCTGAAGTAATTAAAATGAGATGTATTTATAGAGCAGCCTGGGTATTTTCATCTATCTTTGTTTTTCCATCAGAAACAAAACAGTACAAGGTACTGGATTCTTGCCCTTCAGCTACGTTTCCTTACTGCACTGTACAAACACAGTGTACTGGGGAGAGGGTGGACCTCCAAAGGCACCCTACCTGATTTGGAAGCAGGCACCACAAAGGCTTTTTTCCATGTGCCAGAGCTACAGACTGTGGGCTTTTACTACCTGTCTTCAGGGCAACATTAGCTTTCATTTTCTACATGCAGTCCACTGAAAACTAATGTGTTTGTTGCAGTGGTGGTGGGGTAAGCTCTGTAAAACAGCAGGCTGGTGGAGAACGTAATTAAGTTTTACGTTCTCAGTACTGATTATAAAGTCCACAGCTTGTTGAAGCAGTGACCCAGGTACAATATTTGACCTGGTAAATCCTTAATCGCTAACCTGTGGGAGCTGGAGATCTGTGCTGGAAGGCTGGTGACAGATCTCTGTGTGCCAGTGACGCCAATGCTGCAGAGCAATTCCTGTGCCAGTGGAGCATGGGAAATGAGGTTCACTGCTTGAACTGGTCCTGTCTGCATGTTTGTGGTTCAGAATGGCCAGGAAAATCTTCACAAAGGAATTGGCTGCTAACAGCATCTGTTAGGACCTTTTTTAGTGTCTCTGCCTGTCTCTCTGTGCTGCCTGTCTTGATTTTCACTCTCTTATTGCTGTGCCCTCTCTGCTCACAGCTTTTACAGCCCCGCGGCATGTTTCTGTGCCTTCCACTCTCTGTATTCAGTGGCCCTGGATGACGACTCTCCAGCAGACAAGCCCAGGATGTTTGCGTTTCTTGCTCTGCGTACACGCGGTACTAACCTCTCAGCATTGTTCCGAGCCGCATTTGCTGAATGTAACCTCACTGTCCTTGAGTGGGTCTGTGTTCTTAATTAAATTTACTCCCTTCTTAGGAAATGGCTGATGTGGCATTAGATAAGTCTAAAACAGGCCTTTTTCTTTCCAAAGCTCTCCTGGCAGTTATTCATGGCTCTTTTTCAGTTTCCCAAATCACTTACTTAGTGAGGTGAGGAGGAAGAGTGTGCTTCCCCCTTGTCCCACCCTGGGACAGGCAGCTGCTCATGTTCTCTGCTGCTTTGCTGGGGCTATGCAGAGATGAGGTGTACAGAAGCACTGCTTTATGCTGGGGGATTTACCTGGCTGCCCCTGGGCATAGGAAGGCTGTGGGGCTGCATGAGCAGCTCACTGGTACAGCTGAGTGCTTGTTTGCTGTTCCCTGTTTATACAATGGTGACAATGGCAAGCTGTAGCTTATGGTAAAAACAAAGACTTTATACTGCCCTCTGAAACAGTCTTCCATATTTTTATTCACTGCTTTATAGCGCTTTGTGATGTAATCAAGATTGGGACATCAGAGCATTGCATTGCCCAGAGGTGCTTATGTGAGAGCTGCACTGGATTGGAAACCCCGGGGTGCTGGGTAGATTGGAAGGAGATGTAATTAAACTATAAAGAGGCAGTGGGATGGCCTCCAACTTTCCCTGTACCCAGGGCAGCTCCTCCCCGTGTTCCATGTGCATGATATTAGGGCTGTACATAATGCCAGAACAAGGCAAAGAACAGGAGAAGATGTGTTCATTGTCATGCACAACAGATGTTGTCTCAGGCAGCCTCCCTGTGTCCACTGTTGCAGCCATCCCTGCGAGCTGCTCATGCAGGGTGTTGTGGTCTGCACTGCTGCAGAGAGTACCCTGGGCTCCATCAGCAGTGCTGCCTAGAGCCTTGCAGAGCAAATTCTGCATCTCAGGGCCAGGGAGTAGCAGCAGCCAATCCATGGGACTTCAGCAGATTGTAGGGCCATGGCAGTGGAGCCATGCGGGTCCCCATCTCTGGGCTCTGAGGTCACAGCCAATGTCTGGATGTGCTGATTAGGGCTCGTGGGCTGGGGCAAGGTGGAGCATGGAGGGGCTGGTGCTGAGATAAGGTGCTATCAGGCTGTGCACATTTGGGTTCTGATGGTCATGGGAGGGGAAAAGTTGAGAGGGTATTCAATTTCATGCAGCTAGTTAGAAGCAAGAGTTGCTTCAGTTTGATAAATTTATGAGTTGGGATAAATGTGCATGCAGATCTGTGACTCTGGGCTAAGGAAATTCTCAGCAGTTATCTGCCCAGGGCTGTAGCTGCTGCTGAGGTTGCAGTGCTGTCTCTTCCTGCAGCTCTGTGCTGCAGGGTATGGAGCACACTGAGCTGAAGAGGAGGCCCCCACAGATATGGGGTGCTGAAGCCAACAGGAAACATTCCCTCCAGCACTGTGGAGATGATGTGTCACTCCTCCTCTCAGCCCCTCCTGGGGGGCTGCTCAGCTCCTGCTACAGCCCTGCAGGCACACACTACATTTGGGCCAGCCCCTCTGTTATCCCACCCTGAGTTTTGGGCTCAGAACAGAGAAATTCTGGCACGTCTTGCTGGAATTATTCTTTGATGAGTGATCTAATCCTGAGCAGAGTGATTGCAGTCCCCTGCTCTTTTCCCAGCAGCCAAATGCACGTGGAAATGCTGAATGGTCTGATTGCAGCAGCTGCTCAAAGCTCAGGCCTGGCACCAATGCCCAGAGCCAGGAGAAATGTCACTCTGATAACGTGCAGGAGCTGCATGTGTTTGCTGAGTATTGAGAAGGGGCTGACTGTGGATGGGAACCTCCTGCTTTCAGCCCCAGTCCACCTGCAGCGTGGTGTCCTAGGATGTGTTGGAGGGCACTTGCACCTCTCTGCAAGGTCACCTGCTCCTGCTCAGCCCATGGTGCTCCTGCAGCTGCAGGGAAGAGGAAATACCTCCAGTGCTCACTGCGGAGGTGTGGGAGGAAAACATAAAGGCAATCTCATGCCCAATTTCCTCTCTGCAGGAGCCTCACCTGGGACGCACGTTCCCTGCTCCTCTGGGACATTTCAAGACATCTCATTTCATGATGAAAATGTGATAATGGGACACGAACCTACTGGAAATGAGACCAAGAGCCCTGCCCAGCTCTGCATGTTGTACCCTTGCTGAAGAGCACAGCTGCCTGCCAGCCTTGGCCACATCCCAGTGACCTGGCAGGGCCTGGACTGGGGCTGGAGACGCTTCAGGGCTGCACCATTTGCTGAACCTGAGGAACGCTGGGCACAGTTCAGGACCATCGCTAGGCATGGTGCATCTGAACTGTAGGCATTGTTTGGTGGAGCTGAATTATATTTTACAACACAAAAGCCTCCCATACCAGGTACGGTGCAGTGCTGCCTGTGGCAGCCCATCTGCCATCCTTGGCAGCCATTGCTGGAAAGATGCTGCTGCCTGACACCAGGGCACGTGCACCAAGCATGCATCCTGCAGCCTTCAGGATGTGTTCTCCCAGGAAGGGGCCCTGGATACGCTCTTGAGTGTGCAAGACTGGATCAGAATGCAGTCACTGCTTTCTGCCAGCCTGTACTGCAAGAGAGTGTTCTGCAAGCGTGTGGAGATGCAGACCAATTTTCCCTTCCTGGAGATTTCACCCAGTCCTCTTTCTAGGTGAACAGGACTGAGTGGACAGGGCACTGTGCAGGTGCCTGTGAGCAGTGGGCTGTGCAGCCTGCCCAGGACTTCTGTGGAAACATTTCAACAGGTGCTTCTCCATCCATCCAGCTGGACTGGGGGATTTGTGTGGCTGTGAGTGAGAGCAGCTGGATCCTGCATGCACCACATTTGCACTTTAAATCTGTGCAAAGGACATGGCTGTGTTAACATTTCAGTCCTCCCCTTAATGTTTCCTGTATTGCTGAGTAGAAACAATCTGACCTTAGGGAAAAGAAATTAACGCTAGAATCGATTGCTTTGTATTTTGTGTAAACAGCCTTACAGGGTAGAACAACCTCATCATTTACACTGTAGAGACAACAAGCTCTTGTCCAGGCTCCTAGTGAGCGTGCAGCTGAAGGACACATGCACATTTTATATTTGTGTGACCCTCATTTCAGGAGTTCACCCAGTAGTAAACCCTGAGAGCAACGGCTGTCTTGGAGCACGGGATTCGATAGCACGGCACTGCCCGGAACAGTGGAGAAGCTTCAGGCACAGGCACTGCTCTGAGAGAGGCTGAAGCAAACACTTCCCCACAGCCCGATTTGGCCCCGCATCATCTGGCCTGGTTTGCTCACAGCGACCCTGCAGCATGGACCAACCGCTGCTGGAAAGGGAGAGTGGGACCACTACAGCTCTGCCCAGGCACAGGGGCTTGGAGTCGAGGTGGGCATTGTCTGGGGGAGCTCCTGGGGCTGGCGGTGCGTGGTGCCCGTCCCAGTGCTTGCTCCAATGTCCGTTCTGGTGCCCGGTGCCCACCCCAGGACCTGATGCCTCTCGGTGCCCAGCGCGCATCCAGGTGACCATCCCAATGCTCTCTCCGATGCTTGGCCCCGTGCCTACGCCAGCGCTCGCTCCGATTCCCCTCCCGTTGCCAATGCCCACCCCAGTGCCCTTCCTGGTGCCGATGCCGCCCGAGCAGCGGGGACTGGGGGGCGGTGGCCGCGCGGAGGCGGGGCCGTGCCGGGGAGGGTCCGGTGCCTCTGGGCGTGGCCACGCCGGTGCCGGGGCCCGTGTCGGGGCTCGGGACGCTCCTGTTTGCGGGGCGGTGGTGCAGGGTGCGAAGCTGCGGGAGTCGATGCTGACCGTCGAACTCGCCGCCGCTGGAACCATGTCCCAGCCCGAGGCGGAGCGGGCAGGCGGCGGCTCCGCGATGGAGCCGGGGCTCCCCGGTAGAGTACCGCACCGTAACCGCGGCCGGAGGCCCTCGGGACGAGACTCCCGCCGCTCTTCCTCCCGTTTCAACCGGCGGAGTTCGGTGGAGCTGGAGCTGCTGGGCTACCCGGGGCCGAGCGTGGGGTCACCGCCGCCGCCGGACGCCGCGGCTCACCGTGAGCCGGAGGAGACGGAGAGTGAGGAGGTGGAGACGCGCGCCGTGGCCACTTCTCCCGACGGCCGATTCCTCAAGTTCGACATCGAGATTGGCCGGGGCTCCTTCAAAACCGTCTACAAGGGGCTGGACACGGAGACAACAGTGGAGGTGGCGTGGTGCGAGCTGCAGGTACGAGGGCAGGGTGCGCACCTGCGGCACGGCACGGCACAGCTTGGGATGGCACAGCCCGGGGTAGGGGGACTCAGGGAGGAGCTGCTCGGCAGGGACCCCCGGTGCCTCCGCAGCGCACCCAGTACTCTCCACTGCAGCAGTGGGGCCAGAAAAATGCGGGAGGTTTGGACTCCCCGTGCGCTGTCGCTGCTCCGGGACTCGGCTCCGTGCTCGGCTCCGTGCTCGGCTCCGTGCTCATCGGCCCTCCCACCGTCGCACGTTGTTTTCCCGTTGCTGTGTCACTGCCTGAGCTGCAGAGCACCCATGGAGTGCCTGCAGCCCCTGCCCGCAGCGCCAGCCCTGCTCGGGGGCACTGGGGGAAAATCTGGGCTGCGCTGCACCCCACTACTTTTTGGGTGCTCATTAGCTCACAGATCGCTCTTTGGAAGGGCAGACAGGGTAGGGGAGCCGTCTCAGTGCCGGAGCTGGCTTGGAGGTGCACTTCGATAGCTCTCGGAATGCTCTGGGACACGTGCTCCAGGTAGCCGGGGGCTGGGTGCGAAAAGGTTCAGGGTACAGTATGTCCTTGCTGCTTGTCAGCTGCTTGTCCTTGGTTGAAGTGGTGCCTCTGGGCACCCACATGTGGTTTCTATGATGCTTCCAGGTGCTGTCTGCTAACAGCATCTAGACCTATGGCTTCCTATGTCTCTCAGCTTCCTGAGCTCCTACCCCACTGCTCCCCAACAGCAGGATGCAATTCTAGGCAGCTGAGGACAGTGGTAGAGGTACTGCTTCTATGATGCCTTCTCCCCTTCTGCATGTGCTGGGAGCAATCCTGCCTGTGGCAGTAAGGCTGCACGAGCAGAGCCTGGTAGTGGGGCTCCAGATTTCTCCTTGCAGCCCCCAGGGAGGGGCTTTGGTGAAGTCCAAAGTCTCCAACAGATTCCTGCCCCAGGGGTGGCTGCTGCGGCTGGAAGGTCCAAGTCCTTGTTTACAGAGAAAAACATGTCTTGCAAGTTTGTTGTCTTGTTCCTAAAGCCTTGGTGCAGCCTCATGGGATGGCTGCAGCCCAGTAATGCAAGAAGAGATCCTTTAGATAGTGGTGCATGACTTTTGGAGGGGTGACTACAGCCTGTGAGAGGAGGATGTGGTTCTGGGCCTCAGTATTGTGAGATGGGGCAACTGCTTCAGCTTCAGAGAGCCCAGAGCCACTCAGCACTCCTCTTTTGCTATGCCCACATCTCCCTCCTAAGACCTCTGAGCTCCTGGCTGTGCCCTGCAGCACCAGAAGCCACAGCTTCATGCTGGTGAGGGCAGCATCTCTGGTGGAAGTGACTTCCTCCAGAAGAGCCACTCATGCCCAGTGCATCCCACCTGGCTGCCTCATGTCCCTGCTGCGGGGCCATGCCCAGCCTGTGTGTGCTCCACTGTGATACAATCGCAGCCATAGCAGATGCCAGAGCTAACAGCACAGCTTGGTACTTGAGTGCTCTGCTGGGCTGTGTCCCCTTGCATGCCCAGTGTCCCTAACCAGGGTGTCTGTGGGGATTGGACTGCAGTCCCCAGCACCTGTCCAGCAGCAGGGGCTCTGCTGTGTTAACAAAGCTCTGCTTGCAGCTGGGCTGGCACCATGTGCCAGTTACATTCAGGTGCCTGGGGATGAGAGCAACACCCTCTGGCTGGAGCAAAGACAGCTCCAAAGCAGCACCCTCTGCTCTTTATTTGGTGTATCTCGTCCCCAAGTGCACATCCAATGAGAGTCTGGCAGCACATAAGCTGTCAAAGCTTGTTTTTTTTTCAGCAATCATGCAAAGAATCAGACACTGTGACACAAATACAGGATTTGGAACCGCAAATAAAAATGGTTGTGGTTCTGCCCTTTTAAAAATAGCTTTGTCCCATGTCTTTCACAGTTCTCCTTTTATTGCCTTTAAAATATAAATGAACACCTAACCTCAGCCCTGAATGCAGTTCCGGTCCCAGGAGCCTCATCCAGCTGCCGTGGTGCCTCCCAGTCCCAAATCCCGGCTCTTGTCCCGGCCCTGCCTCACCACCAGGTTGCCCAGTGCCTTTTCTCTGCCTTCCTGTAGGACCCCCTGGGGACCTCTTTGTCCCCACTGCCCACAGCCCTGTGCAGCGCTGTCTGTCCCTGCATCCCACAGACCCGCTGTGACCTGTTTATGCTTTCCAGCTTTAGATTTGAGACTATTTCTGTTAGGCGCTGAGGGTTGGGGGAAAGGAGGAAACAGGGAGGAAACCAGAGGCCCAGAGTGGGATTAGCTGTAAATATGTTGTCTGTGCATAGTTTTTCAGTGGGGACCCTTCTGGAGTGGGGCAGGAGGTGGGTGCTGCCATGCCACCAGAAATCTGCCCTGGATCCTGTGGTGGTGGGAGGCTGACAGCTGAATGGGGATTGCTTGGAGGGGATCTGGGGGTTTGAGAATGGAGCGGGTGCTTGTGCACATGCAGGCACCCATGAGGAGAAGAAGTGAGTGCTCTTGGATTCCCATGTGGCTGCGGGGGCTGTGTCTTCAGGGCTCTGAGTGCCTAGCACCTGAACCATTCCCACTGAGCACCTCTGCAGATATCCCTGAGTGCCCCCCTTCCTGGATGGGACTCTCAGCTCTGCACAATGCAGTCTTTCACTGATTGGTGCTGCTGGGACCCTTTGGCTAAGGTGAGCAGCACAGGAGTGCCATGGGCACTGCTCCAGCTGTGGCATTGCCTCACACCTCGGTGGACCTCTGCACCTTCCTCCTCACCTCCATCTGGCCCCAGCTCTGCAGTTGGCCCTGTTGGGCATGCTAGCAGCCATCTCCTGGCCCTGGGATGGGGCAGGACTATTTCTCCAGCACTGCACTGCCATGCCCAGCATCCTCTTCTTCCTCATCAGGAGCTGTCTGCTAGGAAAGGACACCATGTCCTGGGCCGACAGCTCTGCTGGCAGCCCCAGCTGTACATTGTGTGCTGCCCTGCAATCCCAGTCTGAATGGCTCCTGTGTGGCAGGGCCTGTGCTGGGTACCGCTCCCCCTGCATGGCAGGGCAGGGCAGGGCAGTGCCCTTGGGGTGCCTGGCTCCCTCTTTGAAATGGTGCTGGGGATGAATCCATCATGGGCTTGAGGGAAGAGTGGGGCTCCCTTGAGCCTTGCTTCAGGCTCCCTGATGGACATGTCTGCATGCCATCTTGGTCTCCCCTCATCAGACTCAGGGAGCCACAGTGACAGTCCTTGAGTCCCGGCCACAGCCTGCACAGCTGCCCCTTGCCCTGTGGCTCCATGGGACCCAGCTGAGCCCCTGAGCTCCTTGCAGCTCTCCAATAGGTGGTGGTGGGCTGGGGGGAGGCAGGGTTTGTGCTGGGCGGCTTGGGGGCCTTGGGCGCTGTTTTCCTCTCTGGCTATGAAAGATCCCATTCATCCACTGCAGCAAGGCTCAAGTTCTCCTCTGGGCTGAGCTGGGTCCCTGAGCATGTATTAATGAAGAGAGGGGATTATGGAGCAGCTCCAGCCCAGCCATGGGGCCAGTTATGATGCAATGAAAATATTATAAAAGCTGCCTGGGCTGTTGGATGGTGGCTGCCAGCCAAGGAGCTGTGCATGGGGCGGGCAGCACCCGACAATGGGGGCACCTCACAAGCACTGCTGGGACTGCTGCCACCTGGGCTCTTGGGACTCTATGCCAGTTCCTGGGCTCTGTGCTCCTCGGTCTCTTTGGCTCTATGCTGAGTAAGGGTCATTGCATCAGGGCGGTGCTGTGGGGTGCAGGATCTTGCTCCTCCTTCATCCCCCGATCTGTTGTAGAGGGCTGCGTCCTCCCTGCAGCCCTGCTCAGTGCCTGTGTCAGTGCTCTTTGGCTTCCACTTTAATTAACTCTAGCTGGAGGAACATGGAAAAACCTGGGCTGGAGCCTCCCACGCCTGCTTTCCCCAACAAAGGCCTCATTGAAGAGGGCCGGCTCCTTGCCATGAAGGTGCCCAGTGCCTGAAGCTGCTGTGTGCAGTGGAGGCAGGAGCTGCTCAGGATAGGGGCAGATGGGTCTGCACGAGGCAGACCAGCAGATTGCGCACTTGGCAGTGTGGGGCTAGCAGTGCCCATTCTGGCAGTGGGCACCACATGGGAGCCGAGCGCATTGGCTGCGGGGCTGGGCAGCTGGCTCAGGGTGGGTTTCACATGGGCAGCTCAGCACAGGGGGTTCTTCAGCCATCCCTCCCCAGCCTAATGGACGAGGCAAGCGGCTCCATCAGAGCCATGCATGAGGCTGAACGCAGGGAGGAGGATGGGATGTGACAGCCCCACAGCCCCGTGCCCCCTCTCACTGCCCACTGCCCCCACAGACACGGAAGCTGTCCAAGACAGAGCGGCAGCGCTTCAGTGAGGAGGTGGAGATGCTGAAGGGGCTGCAGCATCCCAACATTGTTCGCTTCTACGACTCCTGGAAGTCGTCTGTCAAAGGGCAGATCTGCATTGTGCTGGTCACTGAGCTAATGACATCTGGCACCCTTAAGACGTGAGTGGGGGCTGCTGGATTGGAGCCTGCAGGGAAGGAGGGGTGGGGCAGGGCTGTGGAGTGATAGCCAGCACATGGGCTGGGGGGCCCCAGGGAGTCACATGGCAGTGTTCACCCCTGGCTTCCACTGCACTCCTGGCACCGGCAGCTTGGCTCGGATTTGGCTGCATTTTCTGTGCTGCCTTTGCAGAACTTAGCTGGGGAGGGGGCACAGGGAGCCCCTGGCTGCTGCGTGCCCTTTACAGCTCAGTGGTGGTGGCGGGATTGTGGTCAGGCATGGGGAACGGGGCTGCATCAGTGCCCATGGAGTGCTCTGGTGCCAGCCCTGTCCCCTCACAGCTACCTGAAGCGGTTCAAGGAGATGAAGCTGAAAGTACTGCAGCGCTGGAGCCGTCAGATCCTCAAAGGGCTCCACTTCCTGCACACTCGCTCACCCCCCATCATCCACCGTGACCTCAAGTGTGACAACATCTTCATCACTGGCCCCACCGGCTCTGTCAAGATTGGGGACCTGGGGCTGGCCACGCTCAAGCGTGCCTCCTTCGCCAAGAGTGTGATAGGTGGGATGGGGGCGTGGGGGATGTGGAGGCACATGTGGGAACAGGCGCATTGCTGAGCCATGCTGTGTGCCCCCAGGAACGCCTGAATTCATGGCCCCAGAGATGTATGAGGAGAAGTACGATGAAGCGGTGGACGTGTACGCCTTCGGGATGTGCATGTTGGAGATGGCCACCTCGGAGTACCCCTACTCGGAGTGCCAGAACGCTGCCCAGATCTACCGCAAGGTCACCTCAGTGAGTGCCTCAGGGCTGGAGGAAGGGGCAATGTGGTGGGAGCTGCCAGACCTTGCTGTTCCTGAAGTACTCCACTTGGCAGGTTATGCAAGAAGCTAAAATTAGGCTGGGAGGTGAGAGGGTGCTCAGCTCTGCAAGCTTTGCCAGAGCCAGCAGAGGGTAGGGATGCCCATGTGCCTCACCCCGTGCACTCATAGGGTGGACGGAGCTGCTTGGCTGCCCTGTCCCCAGGGCATCGTGGCTGCCCTGGCCAGACTCAGCCAGTTTCTGCCTTCTGGGCTGGAGCCCAGTGCTGGATCCAGCTGCCAAGCAGGGTCTGGCCCCACAGGGCACTGTCTTAGGGTCACCATGGCACCCTGCAGCTGCAGCCCAGAGGCTTCCTGATGGGTACTGTCTTCTCTTGCCCAGGGCCTGAAGCCCAGCAGCTTCTACAAGGTGAAGGTGCCTGAGCTGAAGGAGATCATTGAGGGCTGCATTCGCATGGATAAGGATGAAAGGTGTGAGAGACTGGGAGAGGACACGGTGCTGCAGAGTCCTGCCCTGAGCCTCTGCACCCCTGAGTGCACCCACACACAGTCCCTCTGCCCTGTCCCTTGCTGCCACCCAGAGCAATGGGTTCTGAGCCTGCACTGAGCAGCGCTTTCCTCCAGATACACCATCCAGGACTTGCTGGAGCACTCCTTCTTCCAGGAGGACACGGGGGTGCATGTGGAGCTGGCTGAGGAGGATGACGGCATTAAGTCAGGGCTCAAACTGTGGCTGCGGATGGATGACACAAAGAAACTGCACGGCAAGTACAAGGACAACAATGCCATCGAGTTTCTCTTCGAGCTCTACAAGGATGTGGCAGAGGAGGTGGCTCAGGAAATGGTGGGTGCTGCAGGGTGGAGGGGATGGGACACCGTGGGGGTCCCTGCAGACTGATACAGCTCCACTCCTGTGCAGGTCGTCCTGGGCTTTGTCTGCGAGGCTGACTACAAGCTGGTGGCAAAGGCAGTGCGGGACCGCGTGGTCGCCATCAAGCGCAAGCGGGAGAAACTGAAACGTGTGCAGGACGTGGTGCCACAGGCTGAGCTGGGGCAGGTGCCGGGCGTCCTGCAGCTGTTGGAGGATCTCAAGTCCCCACTGGCACCAGGCATCTCTGCACCTGCCCCAGCCACCACTGGCTCCAGGGACTCTGTTTTCAGCAGCACCTTCCCACCAGAGCCTGAGGAACCTGAGGCTGACCAGCACTTTGTGTACCGGCACACGAGCTACTCCTCGGCCACCTGTATGTAGGCACAGGGAAGCAGACATGGGGCTCTCCCCTCCTCCAGCCACACCTGTGCATCACACCCCAAGGCTGTGTTTACTAAAGGGGACCTGAGAGCTGGGGAGAGGGGCCTTCAGGTCTGGCCATGCTCACATGTGCACTTGTTTGCAGCCGACTGCGAAACAGATGGCTACTTGAGCTCCTCTGGCTTTCTCGAATCCCCAGATGTGTCTCATCGCAGTGCTTCAGTGGGGACTCCCACTAGCCCCACACCCACCCGCCCCACACGTTGCTTCCCCACGGTGAGCCCATGAGGCTGGGAGGGTTGGGGTGGCAGTGGTGGTGGCACTGGTTCACAGCATCCCGACCCCACAGAGCATTGCAGTGCAGCTTCCCACTGAGCGCCTGCCCACAGCCAGTGGCTTCTCTTCTCCAGTGGACAGGTAAGTACTGGGATTCTGGGCTGGCACTGTCTAGGAAGGGGGCTGCAGATGGGGACAGCCACATTCATGTACGGGGCGTCCTGCAGCTATGCCTCAGATGTAGCATCGGGCATGAGCGACGGTTGTGAGGGGCTCTCTGCTGGCGAGCAGAGCATCAAACTGCCAGCCAAGCGGGCAGTGGGGAAGCTGCAGCGACGCAGAGCCCGGTCCCGGCTGCGCATCACCAATGTGAGTGCCGTGGTGTCAGGGTGAATGCATCCCTGCTGCCTCTGCTGAGCCCTCCATGCTGCATGCAGATCTCCGACAAGAATGATCGGGTGGTGGAGTGCCAGCTGCAGACCTACAACAACAAGATGGTGACGTTCAAGTTCGATCTGGACGGAGACAACCCAGAGGAAATCGCAGCTGTCATGGTGAGTGCAGGACTTGGATAAGAGTGGGGACAGCGCAGCCATGGCACTGAGCATCACTGCACTGCCCCACCAGGTCCACAATGAGTTCATCCTCAAGTCGGAGCAGGACAGCTTCATCCACCGCATTCAGGACATCATCCACCGTGTGGAGACTCTGCTGCGCAAGGATGGGCAGAGCGCATCTGAGCTGCCTGAGAGCCCCGAGGCTGAGCATGTCACCAGCCGTCCTGTGAGTGCCTGGTCCCAGCCCCCCCACTGGGACTCCGAGTGTGGCTGGGGGTTGCCTGGTGCCAGGGCAGGAGCTGCGGGTGCTGAATCTTTCCAGCCCCGGCAAGAGGAGTCCTGCAGCTCCGGCTCATGGTGCTGTCTGCATGGCAGAACTGAGGCTCTTGTCCCTGCTTGCAGAGATGGGTTGGGGACCGGTCATGCTTTGGTTCAGCTTGATCCAGCGCTGAGCTCAGCTTCTCTTTCCCCAGCAGGCAGAGCTGCAGCTGCAGGAGCTCTCACATTCCATCTCGTCCTCCTCACTCAGTGGTACGTCCTCACCGCTGTGTGAGCTCTTCCTGCACCCCCGGCTGAGCCAGGAGGGTTCTGGGAGGCCTAGATGGGCTAAGTGTGCCCTTGTGCCACAGACCTGGGTTGCACCAGCCCCAGCACCTCGCTCCAGTCACCCGTCCTGCCAGCACCAAGCAGCTTCCCATTGGAGAATGACCTCTGCAGCCCTGCAGAGCCACTGCTGGGCTCCCCCACAGGTACCAGGCCTGGCAGGGCAGCACTTTCTCTACCCAGGACTCCCAGCCATAGCCCTGCTAGCTGCAGCATCTTTGCCAGACTTGCAGTGGCACAGTGCTCGTGGCTGATCCCTGCTCCCGATGCTTCTCTTTCCTGCAGGCTCAGCGCAGCCCTGGCCTCTCATCTCATCATCTCCATCCTGGATGGCAGCATCACCGGTGCTTCTACAGACACCCCCAGGCTCCTCAGGAATGTCTGTTCCCCCTGCTCTGCCAGTCCCCTCATCCCCCATCCCCAGTGGACCCAGCAGTCCCATGAGCCCCCCCGTGACCAGCACACCCTGGTCCCCGACCACACCCCTCCTGTCCCTGGCCAATGTCTTTTCCCTGGCAGTGATGAGCGTGGCCCACACGCTACTGCCTGCTGTCTCCTCCATTGCCAGCTCAGGTGGGCACATCTACCCCCCACTGCTTCCTCGGCCACAGAATCTCGTCCTTGGGCCCCCACGCTTCGTTTACCCTGACCCTGCCAGTATGGCAAAATCCTCCCTGTCTTGTAGCGGGCCTCTGGGGGCTGATGTCCCTGCTATGGGGGGGCCCGTGCCATTCTCTCCTCCGACAACAGTTCCTGTGTGCCCCATGGGAGGTCCCTTGACGATGCCAAGCACAGTCATGCCAGGGAGCCTGGAAAACAGCACAGTGAGTGTGGGGCTCTGTGGAGCTGTTTGACGTGGGCCTTAATGCTTGTGGGCTGGGTTGGTGATGGAACACAGAGCCCTGCAGCATGGGGATGCTCCAGCACAGAGACAGCGCTGAGGAGGTGGGAGGGCTGAGCAGGCCAAAGGTCACAGCTGTGGGAGCAAAAGCAGAGGTACTGTGGTGGTATAGTGACCGCATGTGGGTGCCTGCAGGTGCCGCTTGTCTCCCTCAAGCCCAGTCACCCACTCATCGTTTCGGAGTCGCCAGCATCCAGTGTGCCCAAGGCCCGGCTGTCACCCATCAATGAAGGTGAGGTAGGGAAAGGACTGTGCCCACAGGGGCACTGCAGCATCCATGGCGTCCCACTCACCCCAGACCCCATGGATTCCCCCCAGAAGCCAAGCCCCAGATCCTGGGCCGCTTCCAGGTGACACCATCCAAGGAGCCAGCTGTCACATCCCCAGTGCTGGGCAGCAGTGAGAGCAAGCAGCATGGCACAGAGTTGGCGGTGAGCAGCTCCCTGCTGCCCACCACCTCTGGCACAGGGAGCAGCACGAGCAGCAACTCTGACTCAGAGCTGGAGATGGCAGTGCAGAACCCTGAGGAGGAGGCAGTAGCTGAGGAGGGGACAGTGGTGCCAGCAGAGAGTGACCGGGAGGGCCCTGGGGAGGAGAGTGCTCCACAGACGGTGCTGAGCCAGGTATGGCTGAGCTACTCCCGCAGCTTGTCCTATGTGAGCAGTGATGACACTGAGAGCGAGGATGAGGAGATCTGGGAGGAGCTGCAGACCCTGCGTCAAAAGTGAGCAGCCCCATAGTGAGCTCATGGCTTCCTGTGCACACCAGGGGTGGGGGGCTATGCTCATGAAGGATCCTTGCCCAGGCAGAAGGACAATGCCCTTTTCCAGGGCACCATATGTACATCAGGCTCAGCTCCCATTCTCTTTCCCAAGGCACTTGGCTGAAGTACAGCTGCTGCAGAGCACCCAGAAGAAGGAGATTGAGGAACTGTACCTGCGGATGGGGAAGCAGCCCCCACTGGGCATCGTCTCCCCTGCTGCCATGCTCTCCAGCCGCCAGCGCCGCCTCTCCAAGGGCAGTTTCAACCCTTCCCGCCGCAACAGCCTGCAGCGCCTGGAGTTGGCACAGCCCCCAGGTACGGTCCCAGTGCTACCTGCAACTCCCAGCTAGGATGGGACTCCCAAGGCTGAGCCTGTGTGAGGCACAGCTCAGTGCGCCCTCTCAGGACTGAACTGTCCCAGCAGGAATCATGCGCCGGAATTCACTGAGTGGCAGCAGCACTGGCTCTCAGGAGCAGCGGCTGAGCAAGGGAGTGACATTTGCAGATGATTTCAGCTGGATGGTAAGGGGTACAGGGTTGATAACAGCCCTGCGGCACTCCCAGCATGCTCCAGCTCATCAGCACCTCTCTCCCACAGTAGCCAGCTGGACAGGAGTTACTTCATGAACTACCTCAACCATGTGCCTGCTGCCACGTAGGGGGTGAGAGAGCCTCTGCACCGTCTGGAAGGATGGTGGGCACCCACCTCAGGAAGCCGGCCCTTTGCCTTTCTGCACCCTATCAAGATTTCACTGTTGGCACCTGCTGCTTCTGCACCAGAGGGGAGGGCTGTCCCCACACTTGTCCTGAGTGTGTTCCAGCCCTGTCTCATCCCTGTGGCACTCAGCCATTTGCTTGAGCTTGGCCCCAGAAGCAGGAGGGATGAGTGCTGACACTACTCATAGCATCACTCTGCTGCACTTTGCTCCTGGCTCCCAGAGCAGAACCGAACACCCCTTGCATCCTGTTCACCCCTGCCACTGCGCTGTCCTCCAACCATCCTTCAGTCCACGCCCACACCCCAGGGCCACCTCACAGCTTCACCTCTGGCTCCCCAGCTGCTGTTGATGGCTCAAAGTGCCACTTTCCTCTTGTAAGCTGCTTTGCAGCCAGGACCAAAGCTGGCTCCAGAGCAAGATGATGGCATCCTCAGCCCCCCAAAAAACGACAGCCCAGTGCATTTTATTAGAAACTGATGTCTAGAAAGTGTTTTCATAAATACAGATTAAATGTCAAGCACGTCTGTCTGTGTCTATGCAGTTGGGGTTCATGCAAATTTGAGTCAGATGATAAAATAAAAACAAAAATGGAAAACCTCCCCTACATCTGCAGGTGTCCAGGGGCTGTGAGACCCCAAGTGGGATTCTGGTCACCAGGTGACGTAGCAGCAAGCACCGACTCAGGCTCTAGACATATTTATTGCGCAAAGGCAGCAGGGACCCGACCCCATTGAGAGCATGTCCCTAGCCAAGACCCCACTGTGCTCCAGGACAAAAGGCCCTGCCTGCATGGTGCCCTGGCACTGTAATGAGTCACACGGCCACGCAGGCCCCACACGACTCTGGTCTCCTCGAGGCCGTTGCCGGGCCAGGCCGGGCTCAGCTCGCAGCACTCTTCTGCCTCTCCCAGGCTCGTGCCCGCGCCGCCTCCGCCTCCTGCTCCAGCTCGTCCAGAAACTGCTCCTGCGACACGGAGTAGAAGGTATACCCGTCTGCGGAAGGGGTTAAGGAACACAACAGCGCTCCGCAGCCCATACAGCCCGCCCTCCCGCCTGCAGGATACAGATGCCCGCGGTGACCACGCCGATGCCGAGCGCCAACAACACGTTGCGGCTGCGGAGCTGGCGCTGCAAGGCCCGCTGGCGCTGGGCGCGCTCCACCTGCGCCATGAAGCGGCGCTGCTCAGGGCTCAGCCCCGGCTCCCGCTCCGGGTCAATGCGCCGCGCAAACGCCGCCTCCCCGACCGGTTCCCTCGGCGCCGCCATCTTCCCTACCGCCACTTCCGGCAGCGCAGTGACGCCACATCCGTCCGGGAAGCGGGCCAATCGGAAAGGAGCGCGGGACACGTGCGGCCTGAGGCGGAGCGTCGAGTGATTGGCTGGCGCAGGAACGCGGAGGGCCGTAGGGGGCGCGTTCTGATTGGTGGGGACGTTCCCGCAGGCGGGAACTGCACGCACGTGCCAAGGCGGGACGCGCTCTGTCCGTAGGGCTGTGCCTGCGCGGCGCGCCTCGGGGCTTCTTCCGGAGACTGCGGGTGGGTCTTCCACTTTCTGTTTGGTCTGTTTGGTCTTTCCAGCTTCTGCCTGCTTTTGTGTGGCTTTTGGCATTGGTAGTTGTGAAGATTTACTGCCATTATTACAGCCCTCAAAGTTTCAGATGCAAATTGCTAAATGCTGTCCCGGGTGCCGGTAGCATCCAGGTTCTCCAGCCCAGATCCACTCTTCGGTGAAGTTGCCCCTGAGATCATCGAGGACACACTGATCCACCTGGCCATGGAGAATGAGCAGCACCTCAGCGTGCTGCCCGACCCTGCGGGCTGCTTCAGGGAGGCGCGCGCTGTGGGTGAGGTCCTGCACAGCCACCATTGGCTCCTGCATCACTGAACTGCTGTACAGCTGCGTCTGCTGGCTGAAGTTTGTTGCAATTAGCTGTTTTTTTTGTTTGTTTTGGTTTGGTTTTTTTCTTCTAGAGTTTATATTCCTTCTGTCTGAAAAATGGCACCTGGACCAACCAGCAAGGTATCAAGCAGTAGAGCTACTTGAAAGGTAAGAACACGCTGAACACTTCTCATCTCTGACGTGATTGACACCATGCACACCCTTTGCCAGTCATTCAAATTATATATTTTTTGTATCTGGAGCTTTGTCTTTTGAATGATAATTTAGATCTATAGCTATACATGTATTGTGTACGTACAGAACTGCTTGTCTTTTTTCCTTAGTAGAAATGTTTTTTGTAGGTTTATGATCAAGCAAGTAGAACAAATCTATACGTCCCCCCAACAGAACGTTATCGGCGGTGAAGAAGGCAGAAGCCAGAACTCTCTGCAAGAACAGATCTATGACACATTTGTCCTACGGCTGGTGTCGTGCATTCAGCTTGCAAGCAAACTTTCCTTACACTATAATGTAACCTAGATGAGCCTTTTCCGGCTGCATTTTCAGTATTGTAGAAAAGCATATATCCTCTCTAAGCAATACATTTTCTCTCTGAAAATCTGTAGTGATAACACAAAGGATAGCAAAATGAGGCCCTATGTCTCTTGCATTTCAGGCAGATTAACTGTAACTCATTTTGTAAAAATGTGTCAGGAAATGTTCCCAGTACATGTCAGGAAGAAAGTACAGGCAGCTGGAAATCCCAGCCTGTGGCTGTCAGAACACAGAGAGCTTCAGAAAGCTTGTCTGGGGACTGTATGTGGGTATAGAGAACCTAAGGGAAAATTCTGAGCTGTATTTCTCATGCCAGCTTAAAAGGCATGTTGAACAGCTGTGGGAGTATGCAGTATCAACACCACAATGGTTTGAACTTAAACTCAATGGGAGGAGTAAAGCAATGAGGACACAGTAGTGTGTTTTTTTTTTTTCCTCTTAGGCAGTTAATAGTGACACAGCTTTAAAATTTCTGCAGTCCTTAAGATACTCATACACAAAACAAGAGTTGCTTGAGTCAGAGCTTGCTGTTTTAGAAACTCTGCAGTTCCAGATCAATGTGTTGACTCCACTGGCTTACATTGAACTGCTTCTAGAGGTTTTAGGTAAGAGCATTATTAAGAGAGAATGGTAAGGAATTTTATGAGTAACAGAGCTATTATTGCAGTATAGCAATTCATTTAAAATATCCCATGTTACATATCTTTTCTTACTATGAAGGCATGTAAAACTTCTCAGACTTGACCTTTCAGATGAAAACTTGTCCATAGTTGAATCTGCAGAGTGTTGTCTGACAGCCAGTCGTGTCCCATTCAATAAAAGGTTGCTTTAAATTCACTAAGTATAAGACCACATTTTCTAAAATGACTTACCATTTACTTTGCCCAGGTCTGACAACCTGAATTTCAGGAGTGTAATAACACTGAGATTGAAAGGGCCTTGTGGCATTCAGAAACAAGGAGCAGTTGTCACAAAAAATCTATTATTCACTTGCAGTAACTAATGCTTCTTCCTAACTCAATTTATTGATCCTAAATGTTTGGGTAATTGTGTATCATCTCTACATCAGGACATAATGGCTGCTTACTTCCTGCAAAACCGCTGCATCAGATGTGCATACAACTACTAGACTTCTTCTATCTTAAAAGAGATACCATCTATGACACTTTACTGAGTACTGCCATTGAGAACTTGACACCAAGTGAACTGCAGATGTAAGTAGCTTACATTAATTAAAACCTTACAAAAGCATATTACTATAATTCTCCTTATGCTTTTTTTTTTTTTTTTTTGACATCTGTTTTTAAATATCTTAATTTGGGAGGCTTTCAATATTATTGATGAAGCATAATATACCAGTTCAAAACAACGTGGCTTCACCACATTTGCTTTAAGGGCAAGCTAGGAAAGTGTTTAACTTCATGTTAAAAATCTGGCTTTGGTACTGTTAATTAACGTTAATAGAATCAAACTTTTTTTGGACTGACTATAAAAGCTAAAATGTCTGTAGGCTGTACAAAGATTATAGGTGTTCTTGAACTAGCATCATTTTACACCGTTAGATGCTCTTACTTGTGCAGAGCGAAGTTCTTGATAGTAAAGGAAGATTTAATGCTCTTGGCAGTTGGAATCATCAGCACAAGTGCTTTCATGCTAAACCCTGAGCACTGGAAGAAGGTACAGTCATTTCCAAACAAATTAGCTCTACGTGTGGGGAAAAAAGTGAAAGTTATTTATATGTTTAAGTACAGAGGTTGGAAGACTACTGGGAGTGAAAGTGACATCCTTCGGTTTATTAGCAGGAAGTGTGCATGCTTTTATAAGATAGGTCTGAGGACACAAAATCAGTTCAGAAGGAAGGCTTGTGCTGGTGTTACCATCAGCTTATCCTCTTGCCTCAGCTTTTGCACAGCTCGAACTCAGTGAGTCAGTTTCATTGACAACTGGACAATTTTCTGCCCAAGCTGCTAGTGAATAATAAGCAGTGCATTGCAGAAAGCAGCTTTCTCATTTTATTTTTTTTAGTAGAGGCAATTCATTTAAAAAAGAAGCAAACAAACAAGAACAAAAAACCCCACCCCTTGCTCTGACATGACTTGGGGTTTGTGGAGCATTATTATTCTTCTTAGATATGGGGTAGGGCTAAGAAGTAGCTCTGTAAATTAATGCATTTTAGGCACTGTAAATAAGTTTTTGTTTTGGTTTCGTTTTTTTTTCCTAAGGTTGTGGAGCATTTAAACTGTATTACTGGCATTACTTCACAAAGTATCTCAGAATTTTCATATGCAGTACTGAAACACATTATTGGCAGTATCACTCCGAAACAGCACCATAGGAGGTAGAAGAAAAATTCCAAAGAATAGAATTATGCCTTTTATATACAGCTATCCTCTGGATCTATTAGTTAGTTTGTTAGTAGCAAATAGTTACTCTTTTGATGGTATTTCACCTCCTGTGATACTACACAGGGCACCCAAATTGATTTTCTTTTGATTTTGAATACCATGTCTGTTCTGTAATATTTCATATGCTATGTTTAAGTTAGAAAAGCTTGTACTTCCAGGCTATGCACTAGTGCTGTGAAGAGAGGTACACAGGAACAAACTGCGTTTAGAATACCTTTTTCAGCTCCAAAAGCTTTATTTTAAGAGCTACATTTAACTTACTGAATATGTTTTGTTTGAAAACTGTAAGGAGTCTTGATTTGAAAAAGCATTAATGTGAACGTTATTCAGCTTGGTAACCAGTACTGCTACAAGTTCACAAGCCCAATTATTACAAACTGGGCAGTACTTTGCTGCTGGTTTAAAAACTAACTGTTGTTTCAGACAGCTTGCTGCAGCCAGGCTGCTTGTCACAATGTTCCCTTTGCCAGTAGTCAGAGGCTTGTTTGCTCTTGCCTTCAGCAAGCCAGCTAGCTGAGCAGTGTTGTGGAAAAAAAACCTCACCTATTTAGAAAGCTGCATGCAGTTGTCATGGCAGCAGGTGCCTGTTCAGCATGGCCGCATAAATGCTAAGGGATGCTTAGGCTGTGACTAATGTGTTAGATGAAAGCAATCTCAGGGTAGAACGGTGTGTTTTATTATTGGTGTTACTCAGTGCACCTCTGTGCAATAACAGGCTACAGCACGTATTACAAATAAGTGATATCATCATAGCTAACAGTATTTTACAGTTTCAAACCCTTGTAAAGTTCAGTGGCAAAAAGAAATATAGGTATGACTTAGAAAATATTTTATTTTAAGCTGTAGTTCTACTTCAGTGTCCAAACAGACCTTCCATATGTTTTTCCACATTATTCCCTGTTAGAAACATTTCACTTTCCTGACCCCTGTTTTGTTAAGCTGTAACAGTAGTATCAAATTCGCTGGCATTTTGAAGTTCGACAGTAACTTATATACATATCTATAAACATCCAAAATGCCAGTTTAATGTCTATTCAGTAGCTGATTTTTTTCAAATTCAGCTCAGCTCAATCATATAATTTTACATATTGCTTTTCTACATACTACTTGTAATAACTTTTTTTATTTTTTAAATAAAGTGTCTTGTGGATTTTTGGTATTGTAAACATTTTGTACTGGTTAGTATTCAGAGACTTCTTAATCTGAGTTTCTCCAATAAAATGCAAATACTCTACAGCTGCCAGTTCTTGACATGGTTACTTGTTATAGAATTGGGATGAGACCCAGGCAAGACCCCACTTCAGGTTAGTTAACATGAATTTTAGTGCTTTTGTCCATTGCTCCTCAGAGTTAAATTGTGTTTTAATAGAGTAAGAACCACCACTGCCACCTGTATCTTCAATCTTTCCTTTCTCCACGTCCATCCTGTATCACACACAAAGATTTTTAAGAAGTTACTAGAGCAAGGATTTAATTTCAATGTAAAGTTCTGAACTTTAAATCTGATACTCATATTCTTAATATGTTACAATATTTTGTTTTTAAAAGAAATGTAGCAAGCCTCAGACTTCCTCACTTGAGGAACTAGCTTTAAATCTCAGACTTAGAGCAAAGGTGATAATCCTGCACACTACAAAGAACATAATATGATCTCCGAAAGACAGGACTGCAAAGCAAGCAGTGCTGTGGACAGGTCCAGAGGTCAGCTAACAGTGCTGAGTGGGACACCGTACAGTGTAGTAATTTGATGTTATTTAGCAGCACTTACCTATAAGGCAAACAAAACCGAGTTTCACCTTTTTCCACTTCCTCTTTAAATTGCTGCACACAGTCCAAGAAAGCCACCATCGCATGATCAAATTTATTGTCCCAGAAGAACCTTAGGCCTCCAGAACAATACAAGGGTAGTTCCTGGGGGGAAAAAAAAAAAAAAAAAAATTGGGCACCTTAAGCATTTCACTTTAGATGTTGTCACTACAAATCTTTAGTCTGTGTGAGGCTTAAGTTTAGGATGCTTAACAGTTGTTTGTAGCATGTAACAGGTGCAATTTGTCTCGTGCTACATGAATGTTAGTGGTTACTGAGAGAAGATTTGACTTCCTTATCACCAACAATCTTCCCAAATTACATTAACTTCCTCTGACCAGCTGCTCTGTAGAATGCAAGAGTCCTGCCTTTTTTAATGCCCCTGGATGGCAGAGTCAGTGGCTTGATACGATGTGGAGTGAGATATTATGTATGGAAACCAAGATAGCCAGCTCTCCCATGCCATAAATTCATACAGATGTACTCTCAAGAGCAGACTTAGTCTTCTGTGTCCTTCAGTAAGAGCAGGGATCTGAGATGTTCAAGGTCTATTTTCTGCAACTTGTGCAGAATTACTTACCTTTGATTTGTCCGTGAGGGACTCTAAATATGAGTGGTTGCCATACGGTACAAGACGGTATCTGAAAGGACATACAATTCACGGGCAGATGAGGCTAAAAGTCTTTATCCAGGTAATAAGTGAAATGTGTATTATATTGCATATACCTTTGAAACTTCAGGCCCATTTTGTTAGCAAGGGCATGCAGTAACAGCACAGTCTGCCCCCAAGCTGCATTGATCTCATTCCATTCTACAGGAACACTGGGGAGACGGCCAAGTCTGAAGTTATTTATTGTGCCAAACTGACCACTGTGCCTGTGATAAGAGGAATTATAAATAAATGCACTGGGGCAGGAACAGCTTTTAGCATGCTAACCAAACAAGGGCCACATACAAACAGCTACAGAACGCACTACCAATCATGCAGAATGAAGGTTTGAGGACCCTGATTTAAAAGTATATGTAAATACCAACAATGTTTTGCTTTCTATGAAGAAGTTCTTTTGGGAAAACAAAAGCAAGTAAGCTACATGCTCTTTGAAGCCTGACAGAAATTTGGCTAGCACAACAGCTGCCAGCTAGTTAACATAGTTAGCAGAGCCATTTTGTAGGCTCCTCACACATATCTGCAAACTGCGGCAAATCTTTGAGATGCCACTAGTGGGAGGTGAGTCCATTTTCTGCAGCACCACTTGACTAGCACCTCTTCTGTCAAATGCATGTTTATTTAAATGGTTCTATATTGCAAAATCTTAGCAAACTGAAGCAATATTCCAGTGTCTACGTTACCAGATGTGGAAAGTTGCATTGAACACATTAGTTTTCTTTAATTTATCCAGTTGCATCTGAGCATAACGCATTTGGTTCTCCACACTTTTCAGTTCATCATCTAGCTCCAGTTGTTGTCTCTTAAATTCACAGTATTCTTTCTGATACCTTCAAATAAAATCAAGACAAGAAATGCTAGGTACAAGGCTCTTACAGGAAAGGATGTAAGCGCTCACATGATATGCTAGAACTATTTTGGCATGTCTGGCTTCAGTTTTGCAAAGAACAAGCTATGTGCATTTGGGCATTATTTATAGTTTCATTTATCTGCCAGCAACTGCAGTTCACTCACTGAGCTTCTTCCTGTTCCAGTCGCTCTGCCTCTGCCCTGACTCTCTCAAAGTCTTCAGCCACAACCTTGCGGTTCTTCTCAACATCTTCTAGCTCCTGAATCAGTTGCTCTTCTTCCAGTGCAAGTTCTTTCAGTTCTGTCTGCAGTTTCTCCTTATCATCCTCGTTCATTTTTTCCAGTATCTCCAGACATCTCCTGGTAGGACAGTTACATGGTTATCAGAATGGAGATCCTGAAAAGGCCGTCTGCCAATACTTTGTAGTTTTATGTCAGGCTGTGCACATGAGTAGAAGTATAAACACAAACTCTGGTCTTAAAAGTACGTCGGCTGTATCAGTGGAACAAGGTGGTGATGGAGGACCTGCTATGCCTGTGAATAACTGCAAAGTATGTGGATCTCACAGTGAGTGCTGCCACACTGGCACCTTGGGCAGGTGGTATCTGTCACTCCAGTGAGGTCACAGACTTCAGTTTGAGAAGTTATGTATCACGGGATCCTCAGAAGTGCTTCATCTCACTCAAACCAAGTGCTAAAGTCCAGAGCTTACATTACTGACTACAGAAAGTGAGGTAAGTCTATTTTTCCCTAGCTTCCCAACTAAACCAACTGATTTCCTGAACAATTCCAGATTACTCACTTGTAGTTCTGGCATTCATTCTCTGTGATATTAAGCTGTGTGTCTAGCTGGTCTAGCAGAGTATCTGTGCACTCCTCACACAGGGGGTGATCCACATCTGTCTGCCCAGACATGATATCAAAGAGATCACCGGTAACCTGGAGGAGAAAATCACCATTAGTTCAAGCAAAACTGCAGGCAGCTGCCAGTTGCTTCCCAGCAGATGGGCTTGTGGCTTTTCATCTGACAAAGTATTTTAAGAGATTAAGTCTTGATTAAAAATAAGCCAGTTATGCTTACTTAACTATTCACCCTCAAAAATATTTGAAGGCCAATGCCATGACAAACTTTGCACTTCAACCTTGCACAGTGTCTAGAAAAATTAATGCTACAGTCATGGAGTCATAGCATATTTAGGGTGAAAAAGACCTCTGAGGTCATCAAGTCTAAAGTACCTGAGTTTACCAGCTCGTGTACAACTTGCCTTCAGTCTTCTGCTGAGGTTTTCCATTGTGCCTCCATCTGATGCCTCTCCAATCAGCGTGAAGCTGTTGGCGCTTTCTGTTGACATCATTCTTGGAAAGAATTTTACCGAGAATTGAATACAGAGGGCTTAGGGAACCAGGCTGTACACGAGACTTAGATCTAGAGCAGTTCTCAGGAAGGAAGAACACAGACAACACACCAGAAAAACAGCTGAGGGGACAGCAATTAAAGGAGCCTACCAAGCCTGTTTTGTGTTAACCCACAACTAATTAAGTGACCTCAGTATATTTATGGGGCTTTAAAGGGCTGCTCCTGAATGCATTTCAGAGCCCACGGAAAACACTTCCAGGGGCAGGCTCCAAAAGGCTCTGCACGATCCGAGGCACACAGCACCTCTCTCGCAGCGCTGCCCGCCCCCCGGCCCAAGGCAGGCACGGCGCGGTGTGTCCGCGGGCTCTGCCCCGGCCGCGTACCTGGCTGGTGGGATGAACCTCCTGGAGACGCCGTCCTGCCGACTCTCCGTGAAGGCCTCCTGCAGGGAAAGGCACCGCCGTTACGGGGGACCGCGCCGCAGCCGCACCCCGCCCGCTCCCTCCCCGTACCTCGCTCAGGGCGCTCTCCTCCTGCGCATCCCCGGGCCGGGCAGGCGCAGCGGTCAGCAGCGGCGCTACGGGAGAAAAGCTGTCAGCGCCCGGCGCTGCCCGGCCGGCCCGTCCCACCCCCCGCGCCGCGCCGCGCCGGTACCGGTGAGCTCCTGGATGGTGAGCCGGTCGAGGATCTTGAAGGAGGTATCGAGCTTCAGCGGCTGGCTGCAGCGCTGGCACACGAAGCTGACCTGCGTGGTGCAGGCAGGCGCCCGCCCGCCCTCCATGCCGTCCCGCTCCGCTCAGCCCCAGGTCCGCACCGCCGCCATCGCCCCCGCCGGACGTGACGCGCAGCCCGGCAAGGTCCTAGCCGGCGTGTAGAAGCCCCGCTGGCGGCCATTTTCTTTTCCACGTTCCCCTCTCTTTCCTTCCTGCCAGCTGCCAGGACCCGGCGGCGCGGTCAGGCGGGGAGCGGGCGAGCTGCTATTGGCGGCAGGCGGCGTGACCTCACTTCCGGCGGCAGCGGAGCCGGCGGTGGGGTGGGCGGCAGGCGCGGCCCGTGGCACGGCGAGACCCGGATTCGCACCTGCCGGTATGGCCTCGCTGCTCAAGGTGGACCCGGAGGTGAAGCTCAAGGTGCGCCCGCTGCTCTCGGCCCCTTCGCGGCCCGCCGCTGCTGCCGGCCCTCCCCGTGGAGTCTGCCCGGGCCTCGGGGCGGGCCCGGCACCTCCGTGGGGCCGTTTGGCCGTTTCTCCGCGCGTCCGTAGCGCGGCTCGGCCCGCTCCGCCCCGCCGCTCCTCCTCCGCCGCTTCCGATCGGAGCCTCCCGCTGGGCCCCGGCCGGGCCGCACCCGCGCTGTTTCCGCCCGGTGTGCGCCGCGTTCAGCCTGCGCTGCAGCTGGCGGTCTGCGGCCTCGCGGCTTTTGTTCTGGGCTCCTCGCGCCGCGCGTTGGCCTTTGGAACTCGGCCCGTGCGAGTGAGGGAGGCGCGGGGTGCGTTCGGCTGCTTTTCATCCATCCTGGGGTCTCCCGGCCCTCCGCGTGCTCTCACGGGAACAAGGAGGTGCCCGGGGTTCGGACCTGGGGCAGGCTCCATCCGTGCAGGGCACAGCGCCCACCTGCTATTGAGTTGGGGAATTTCTTAGGATGTTCTGAACTGTTGCTTTGTTTCTTCTGTAGGTTGACTCCTTCAGAGAGCGGATCACAAGCGAGGTGAGTATCCTCTGAGAGGGAAGAGCTAGCTCGGCAGGTCTTTTTGACACAGTTTGCTGCAGTTTGAGTGTCTTCTGTAATCTTAGAAGTGTGCACAGCTCGCTTTAGTCATTGGCTGAGATGAGGTTATATAGCCTTGTGGCTCACTCCATGTCTTTTTTTTCCTTTTGCCTTTGTGTGGAGTTTGTTGGAAGGCAGAACCCTGCTATTTCCTGGCTTTGGACAGTCTATTTTCCTGGTGTTTTTGTTAGCTCATGATGAATTCATGGCATTGTTTCACTTCATAATCTCTTCTTTCTCTATCAGGCTGAAGATCTGGTGGCAAACTTTTTCCCAAAGAAGCTGTTAGAACTTGATGGGTTCCTGAAAGTAAGATATACGTGTTATCTTCTGTATTCTATTTTATTTTCAGATTGCGTGCTGGAAGGTGATGTGACTGGAACAGATCCTTCCTGTGCCTTTATCTTGTGTATATCACCATAACACAGAGAAGCGAAGCAATGGCTTTGTTGCTTGCATGTACTGAAATGCTGCTAGCTCTAGAGGGAGTGATTCCTGTGTTTCAGTTTTCTTCATGTGATCAACACATTTACTATTCTTACGCATTCAGTAGCTTTGGGCTGTCCTTCATGATGCTATGGGACTCCAGCATGCCCGGCGCTGCAGACAGACAATAGCTTTGATCGTAATCTAGAGCTGGCACTCTGCTCTTGGACAGAGGGGGGTCTTGCTACGGTCCTACTGTTGGATATTTTTTTTGTATTCATCCTTATTTTGCGGTTGGAGATGTAAAATCTTTGTCGTCTTATTGTGCTTACTGTGATAGAAGTCATTATTTCATAATTAAATAACAAGTATGCGTTATTTTCCAGGAGCCTATCCTGAATATTCATGATCTCACTCAGATCCATTCGGACATGAACCTCCCAGTGCCTGACCCAATTCTTCTCACAAACAGCCATGATGGACTGGACGGGGTAAGGTTACTCTCTTGGCTGAGCTCCCTGCTTCTGATAATTAAAACTGCATGGCCTGCTCTGTGTTGGATTAGAATATTCTTAGTTAACAACAGCCTCCCAAAGGCTTTCAGGAATTGGTTTCCCGATCTTGGGAAGTCTGCTGGAGGGTGATGCTGTCCTTCACAGTGTTCCTTTGTTTTTAAAGAAGGATGGTTAGAAACCAGGAGTGTAGCAGAGGCTCTAATGTTATCCTTACTTCCTCTGCAACAGTTTTATAGCTTACGACTAGTTTGTGAGTAAAACATTTTGTATATTTTAGCCAAATATGAAAAAGAGGAAGCTGGAAGACCGTGAAGAGACCTTTCAGGGTAAGAGTCCCCGAGTCTCTTTGTTGCTGCCTGCCCCTTGAGCCATGCCTTAAGAGAATGAAATGACTTCAGTCCCACTTGCCCTGTCCTGACAGTATCTGCTGCTTATCCAGACCTGTCTCTGCAGCCTCAGAGCCTGACCTACAGATATTCTCTTGTGGAGTCAGGTTCTAGCTCTTAGAAGCAGCAGGATTTGGATTTCTCTGATCGACATAAGTAGCAGTTGCTTAGGCTTAGCCTGTTGATGAGCAGCTGACCTCCCCGTGGATCTGTTCTAAAAGCTTTTTACATCTGGAGGAAAACCTCAGGTTTTGGATTAAGCTAAGGCATAATAATTTCTTACATGTGTGTCAGGAAAATCCTTGTATCTAGGCTCAGCAGGCTAGAGCTCTCCAGTTCTCATCTAAGCTCCGTATTTCCTCTCTTCTTTCCTTTGTGGCAATCACAGCTATCCCATGCCCGGTTTCCCCCCTCCTCACAGGTTAGCTGTATCCTGGCTCAGTGTCCACTGCTAGCCTTTGTAGGAGACATGATACTCAGGTGGACCTTTGGTCTGATCTTCTGGTGCATCTGTTCCCACATAGAGCTGATGTGTTTGCCTTCTCTGCCACTGTAGGTACCAAAGTGTTTGTGATGCCCAATGGGATGCTGAAGAGCAACCAGCAGCTGGTGGACATCATTGAGAAAGTGAAACCAGAGATCAGGCTGCTTATTGAGAAGTGTAATACGGTGGGTATGGGCTACATCCCTGAGTTCTGGAGCAGATGGGGGCACTAGAACTTTTGCTCCTTTGCTTGTGTGAAGGTTCGCTGAAGGAGCAGGTTTCTCTGTATTTTATAAATGATAGTGGTATGAATCTTGCACTTGTGAAGTCTGAAAGGTAGGTGTAGGGAAATGTTCCTTTTCTAAGCTCTCAGGGAGTTCTATAGTACACCTTGTGAAGGAGGATGTTGTCTGTTTTGCAGGCTACTTTCTTGAGGTCTTTCTTCACCCTCTTGCATAGTAACCAACACCTGCTTAGAGCCACTTGGCTGCAATCAGGGGAGCTTCCCTTGAGAAGCTGCTATGCTTTTGTGGCTTCTCAGCTGTATGAGAAATTTAATTAGAAGTGGTGCGTGAGCATGAAGAACCTGTAGGAGTTTATCATGAGCTGCATGGCAAAGACATGGTCATAGGGGGCTTTTGGAAAAAATTATGAGATTTCTCTGTAAAAATCTTGGCAGTGATCTGTATAGTGATCTTTCTACTGCAGGTCAAAATGTGGGTGCAACTTCTAATTCCCAGGATAGAAGATGGAAACAACTTTGGTGTTTCTATTCAGGTAAGATACCATTGGCTGTGTTGTGGTTTTGTATTGTAGTGTGTTGTCTTGCATTTTGATACCTGATTTAGTAAATTAGTTTGTTTCTCCTCAGATTGTTGCCGCTGTTTTAAGGCCCATCTCTCTACCCTTTTCCCTTTCCCAGGATGTGGGTCTGTGGGTACCCCCACCCTGCTAGTCATGAAACTGGGCCGAACCAGCCTGTAAACCATTGACAGGCTGTATGCCCTACTGTAGCAGAGACCTATGCCACAAGAGTATGAACCTCTAGGATTCTTCCAAATTGTTTGATTGTATCCAGTGTCTGCAGTGGTGGAGTTGGTTTAGGTTTTAAAATCCAGATCTGAGCTTGACATGGAACTGCTGAGACAGGATACTTCCAGAGCCACGATGGCCAATTTCAGTATGAGTATTTCATGAGAAGGCTTCCTTTGCAGGAGGAAACAGTTGCTGAGCTCCGAACTGTGGAAAGTGAGGCAGCATCCTATCTGGACCAGATTTCTAGGTATGAAGGAACAGAGCCCTTTCTGGGAGTGCTGCTGGGAAAAGTAACCTTTTGGGGAAGGTCCTTCAGCTTTGCTGGGGCAGGTTGTGTCTGGAAAAATGTTGGTGCTGTTTGTCTGATTTGTCTCCATTTTCCTAACAGATATTATATCACAAGAGCCAAGTTGGTCTCCAAAATAGCTAAGTACCCTCATGTGGTAAGTAAATGGGGAAGTGGTGCTTTACAGTTTACATGCTGCTGCTTTTTGGGACTCTTCAGGCCGCTTCATCACTGTCCTTTTTGAGCTCAGGGCCCTATGGGAAAAGGGGGGGCTGTATTAGAGTACAGAATATCTTCATTAAAAGAGAGGAAACTGAAAGGGGGATTCTTTTGTAAAAGGTAGGACCTTCAGTTGGTATATGGAAGCACACCTGAGCTCAGGCCACTTAGCCATGCATCTGTTTCCTGCAGGAGGACTACCGCCGCACAGTGACAGAGATTGATGAGAAGGAGTACATCAGTCTGCGCCTGATCATTTCAGAGCTGAGGAATCAGTATGTAAGTGAAAAACCAGAGCTCTCGCTGGCTCTTCACGTAATAGAAAGAGCCCTTTTGATCCTTCTGCTGCTCTCCCCTTTCCCTATGATTGCAGCTAGTCCTGGCAAGAAGCCTATCTCTTTCCTGGTCTGCTTTGGCACTAACAAGAAGAACTAAGTGTTTATTGCCTCCCCACCATCTCCCAGAGATGTGGATGTTTCCAACTTGAGTATTCATGGGAGCTGAGCACAAAATATTCTGTGCACTGCTGTGGGAACCTGCAATCCTAAATTCTTCAGGCAGTACAAACCATTCCTGTACTCTGTATTGATGTCTTCTCTTTTTTGTATTATACACAGTAGCTTCTCTAAAGTGTTGTGGAACAAAGTGCTTATTTTAAGCAGAAATGTGATTGCAAGCAGGGGTTGAAAGTAGTACCAGGATGAGCTGTGATACTGCTCAAGTCAATGGTTGTGAATCCTGAATGTTAAGTGATGCCCCTCCTCCCCCCCTTCATTTCTGAGTTGTGTTTTCCCTTTTTGCAGGTCACTTTGCATGACATGATCCTTAAAAACATTGAGAAGATCAAGAGGCCTCGGAGCAGCAATGCTGAGACCCTTTATTAAGTGTCAACGTTTGAACTTGAGAACTGTTCAGTCAACTAAAGACCGTCATTGCCTTGGTTTGTTACATGACTATCGAGATGGGAAACTGGCTGGAAATAGTATTGCATTCTTAGTTAAAATCTAAAGAAATTCTCACCTAGTTTTGTGATTGGTTTTATTCAGGTCTCAGGAGCTCTCCCTCCCTCTAGTATCTGGTAAAGAAAAAGGCCTTGCTGCTTTGGGATGCCCTAGAGGCTACTGCAGAGTGAGAGCAGAGCGCCAGCCAGGCAGGAACATTCCTTCATGCCTTTCTTCCTACCTAAGTAGGAGCTACAGTAGAGACCAGGCCCTTGTCTTGTCCCATCTCTTGGCTGGAGACTTCTCTGTGATCTCTGTGAACAAGGCAGACAGTCTTCAGCACAAGATAAGGCCTGGATGGTGGTGCAGTCACTGAAAGCCAGCTCTCTTCAGTGCTGGCTGTAGCTGAGCCCCTCTGCCAATGCTCTGCACTGACTTATTTGCAAAGACAGGATCCTTCCCCGTCTGGGTTGGTGGCCACAGCCACGTTCCAGTGCCACTGAGAGGTCTGTAATTGTTTTGTGGCTTTTTTGACTCAGTAGAGTGTGGCTCATCTGTCTCTGCCTTGGTTCTGAGCAGGTCAGTGCAGAGCTGAAGGTGGTGCTTATCACTGGGGCTAATTGCTGTACTGGCTGGTTGTGAGCACATGTGGCTTCTGCTTCAATTTGCAAATTGACTAGAGCCACTTTCTTGGGTAAAACCAACTTCACGGGAGTCTTTGTGCCTCCTCAGTGTAAGTTGCTTTTGCCCAGGCTGAGAGAAGGGAGGAGCCAGAAGTCTGATGCTAAACATAGCTTCCATATGTGATCAGACTGCAACCTGCTTTCTTCTGGCAGTGCTTCCAGCTGTCCAGGCACAGCAGGCCAGCTGTGGCAGTAGTGCTTGGGGTGAGGATGGCCAATTCCCACCTGGTACCATTGCACACCTTGTATTCTTTCCCCTGCAAAAGAGCACCATTGTGTGCCTACTGACTCCTCTAAGCTGCTGGAACATTTCATGGTCCATTACAAACCCCTTTGGAAATGATTGGTTGTGTTGCGTCAGTTTTTGTGTGTGGGAAGTGATCCCATAATGCTGCAGGCTCCAAATTTTTTATTTATAGTATTTCTACTTAAGTCCCATATTCAGGGAATGTTAAATCATTTATTTCTGGAACCTCACTGTTTCCCAGGTCTCGTTACACCCGTATATTCTTATTGTGCAGTAGCCTTAATAGTTGTGTTAACTTCATTGTAACAGCAGTGACAAAAGAAATGAACTTTCTCTCTCTCTCTTTTTTTTTTTTTAACTTTGTTTTCTTTTTCTGCTTCCACCTCTAAGAGCCATGTTGTCTCTTGCTGGTTTCCTAGGGATTTCCCTGGAGTGTGGAGGGCCACCAGCCCTTTCTATAGACTCTTCTGTTGTTGTTTGTAGAAGTCAACTCTTAGTCTTCCCGCTAATAAATATTCTGTAACAAACCAACTGCGTTGTAGCTGCTATCTGGGAGCAGCACTCCCCCTTGTGTTTCTTTGTATTGATTTATTTTAATTTGTTGAGCTCTCTTTGCCAGATGAAAGTATGTAAACTTTTACCATGTCAAGAAATTAAAATAAGGTACTTTGAATTCTTTTAAGCTAGCCCCTTGTCTGTGATACTGAGCTCTTAGATACACTCCGCAGTGTTAGTGTCTGTTCTTGGCTGTGCCTTTCACACATCCAGTGGTTTCTTCCGTACATTCTCCTCATTCTTATTTTTGCCTGTTGATTCTGCTATGTGTGTGCTGCTTTGAAGATTGTTTCTATTCCTTCAGCATGCCTTATATTAGGCCCAGGAGCTTGAGTTTGATGAGATCTGCACTGTTCTTGTCCTTTGTGGTGGACTCGAGCTGTCTTGGGTCACTCAGGTACAACTGATTTGCATGATGTGTTCTAAGAGCTGCAACTCTCTTCACAGCTGCTCCTGCACCTGTGCAGATGTCTGCAGTGTTGTAGGACAGGCATCTGAATGACATACCTGTCAGGTGTATTCAGTGCATGGTCCGTTACTCTCTTGATTTTACTGTGCATGCAGTATACAGGAGACATGGGCCAAAGCATCCTCAGCGTTTCTCAAAGGCATGCTTTTGTTCTCATTCCTGTTCCTCAGCACATGTGGCATACAGCCTGGGCTGCAGGGAGCTGCTCTGCAGTGTTCAGCCAAGTGACATTCATTCCCCAGCTCCCTGTCTGTGAGCTGCTGAAGTCCAGCCTGTTCTGCTCTGTGACAGGGAGGCTGTGTCCCTCGAAGCTTGGTTGCCACTAGGTGGGGGCTGTGATCCAGCCTGAGGAGTGCTGGGAGGCTGGGTGAGACTTGGCCTCCTGGCCGTCCTGTCTGCAAAGTCTTCAGCCTCCAAGATGAAGCATAAGCAGCAGCTCGTAGACAGCTGCATTCTGCCTCCTGCTGGGCCACTGTGCTTCCTGTGGAGTGGAAAAGTCCTGGTGCCCACACTTCTTGGTGAAGATGGGTAAGGAACTGACAGCACAGGTCCCTGGGGCTGAGAAGGCTAAAGCTATTGCTGAAAAGACTACTGTTGGCATTGCTCAATGCCATATGGCAGAAGGGGTCCACCTTGATACAGCCAGGAGAAAGGGAGCCCACAGCAGCCCTGTGCCAGCAGTCCTGTGGAAGGATGGAGCATCCAGGACTGCTGTGCTGACAGGTGTTGGTGAGAAGCATGTCTCATGCAGAGGAGCAGGGGATGGTTTATTGTCTGGGATCTCACCCCTTGGCACAGTGGTTTCTGTTCTGCTTTCCCAGAGAAGCAGCAGCATGCTATCAGGGCTCTAATTCACAGCTTCTTGAGACATCCCAGCTTGTATTTGCAGTGGAAGTTAGAACTTTGAAAGAAGAATAAGAGCACAGCAGTTGTGTTCAGACAAAAATGCTTGCCAGAAACTTAGCCAGCATGAGTAAGTGTCAAGCAATTTCCAGCAGTCTGTTTTACACAAGCTGACTGTGCAAGGTGAGAGAGTGGGAGTTTTCCAGAGTCTGAAGTTTGGCTTGGGGTCTGCTTGAGATGTACCATGTCAGGAAAACTGACAAGAATTTGTGTGCGCGCACTATACTCTTTACCCAGATGCTTGGCAGTCACTGACTCAAAAGGCTGCCTGTCTGTGCTTTGGTTCCTATAAATTTCAGGGACTATTTTTGCCAGTTCTGCCTTTCTATGTGAGCAAAGCACAGCAAACTCCCAGCTACTGTGTTTTTTTTGGGAGATGCTGGCACTTTACTTGACGTGTTGCACTGACAAGCAGTGCCTAAAAGCAACCGTGTAGTCAAAATAAACTGGTATGATGTGAATTCTCCATGTTAGGTATGGAAGAGTCATGAGCTAATTAGACTGGGGAAATGAGTTGTGGACAGTTGTTTGTTGTTTTTTTTTTTGTACCATGCAGCTCATAAACAAGTCATGCTGCTATTAGTGAGATGTGTCATCTTCAAAATTCTAGGCTAGCTTTAAGTTGCTTCAGGGTCCTTTTGGAGAAGATGCTGTTCCTGTGGTATGTGTTATACTTAAGAGTCCCTCAACATTTTTTATCACTTGCATGTTGATATAGGTTTCTCATCTCTTCAGACTCAAATAATTGCTCTGCTTCCTGAAATGTCTGCTAAATGATAGCAGTGGATTTAGTCCTTGTATTTGTTCTGGAACAGAGCTCCCAGAAAGTACAGGCTGATTCTTGTTACAAACTGTAGAAGTCTTCAGCTTGAAAGGTACAGCAGGAATGGGCATCATTAAATAACACGTGATATTAGGCATGACATCCTTGGCACGTACCCTGTAACAGGACAGAGGCAGCACAGAGCTCAGTTAGTGCCAACTGTGCTCTGCAGACCCAGGGTGTGTGCTGTGGATTTGTTCATCATTATAGTTGGGGCTTTTGTTCTTTTGTTGCATTCCGAATACCCAACATGCACAGAAGTGTTCCCACACTTTATTTTCAGACTTCTGACAGGCAAGTTGCAGGGTTGAGTTGTCATTTGTGGGGCAGTGTAAGGCCTGTGAAGTTTATCCAGTTCTCTTAAACTACTGCTGCTTAGAAAATGACAATCTAATTACAGATTGTGCTTTGGCTTTTAGGGACATGAGATGCAGCACCAATAGGCAAAGTTGAAACTAAATTATCTGCTCTTTTGTGCTACAGGGAAATGTAAAGGTAGATGTGGTTTGTGCAGCAGGCTCAGCCCAGCTGTGCAGAGGTGTGCTGCAGCAGAAGCCAGTTGAATTCCTGGAGGCAGGAGGTATGTCTTGACTCTGCTCCCAACCTTCAACGGCACAAAAGCACTTCCTCTCTGCACTCGAAGTGAAATGGAGTACTGTGTTCTAGGCTTTACACCAAAAGGGACTTTTTCTTTGGGACCCAACCCAAAGTAACCCTTAAAGCCTTGTTGACTTCATAGCTGAAATGCTATCTCGGAATTCAGCACTACTTTTTGCTTAATCTGGGGCTATTCAGGCATCTGATTCTGCTGTTAGAGATCAGTGGAAAGCTGATGGGAACAGGGTACCTCTGAAACCTGTAGATACTACAGCCTGTATTGCCAAAGATCTTTTATCATAGGTCCTGTCTCTTCCCACTACTTGCATCTTTGTCACAGGGATCTCCTCTTCTGGTCAGCAGCTACATGAGATGACTGCTGTGGCTTTACTGGCGCAACTGACAGAGAGCAGAAGGGACTCTTGCTTGCATGAAGCGACTCTGCGTGCATGGCTGCAGCTGAGGTTAAAGAAGGTTGAGAGCTGTCCACTGTGGTGGAGATAATGTAGGGTGTCCTAAAGCCATCTAGCTGTCTGCCTGCCAGTGTGATGTCTGGTGAGTGTGGCTCAGGAAAGGCTGAGTCTGGGGCAAGACCCAGAGCAAAGGAAGAAGATAAATGGTGCTGCAGGCTGGGGTAGCCTGCCACTGGGAAACTCTGATGGAGGAAAAAGGGAAGGCCAGGGTGAGGTGAGGTGAGGCTGGCAGCAGGAGTGGAAATGTTGGGTTCAACCTCCAGCTGTGGTTCTCTTGGATTCCTTCTGTTTCTCAGCACCAGCTCAGGGACAGGCAGGGACTGCAACTGAAGCAGTGTGTCTTGTCTGTCCCTGGTGTTTGCTGAGTGGCAGCATGGAACCCCCTGTCCTGCTCAGTGATGCTGTGAGAACAGCAGAGACTTTGGGTGGCAATGACTGAGGGAGCTGTCGCAGCCTTTGGGAGACACACTGGAGGTACTGCTCAGCCTGTGCGGTGGGACAGCACAGGGCTGCTGGCGCTGCCTGCGTGGATGCCACAGATCAAAGGTTGTCCTTGAGGGAACTTCTCTGAAGCTGTACCTCAGTTTACCTTAGGATTTGAGGCAGAGGCAAAAGTTATTTGAACTTGTTCCAGTGGAATGATGGGGGATTAATTAGCTAATGAATACTCAGAGATGCAAACTAAGAGCTAGTTGTTCACACTGCACTGGGGCCAGTATATCGTCCTGAACTTCATCTCTCTGTGCCTGCCAAAGTTTTTTTTTTTTACTACTACACAGGTGGATGTGTTTTCAGCAAAGGCTTCCACGTAGAAGATTTTAAAAACCAAAATAAAAAGCAACTCCAAGTTTGAAATCATGCTGCCAGGGAGAGTGTTTGCAAGGAAGCAGCCTGATAAACAAGGAAATTTCACGAGTTGCAGAGAGGTGAAATTCTACAGTGTGGCAACAATTCTCAGTCTGTGAGAGCGCCACTGTGGTCCCAGCCACCTTGGTCTGACTACAGGATTGTCGTTATTACAGGCAGCCTCAGGAAACTGGGCAGGACTGAAAAAGTAACAGTGATGTGAAGTTTGTCTGAGTCACTGACTACATCCCCCGTGGTTCTCTCAGGGCAGCAGCTCTTGGAAGAAGGCAGAGTAGGATGCAGTGAGTGAGAGCTGCTCTTTCTGGTCACCACTAACTTCAGATCTCCTCCCCTAGCCTCTCCCAGTCTTTTGTACTTTCCTTGCTACTCCATCCGCTGCAGCAAAAACTGGCAGAAGCAGCAGTTAGAAGCCCTGCTCCAAAAGCGACTAGAAAAGCCTCGAAACCAGCAGCAGCATGAACATGAAAACCGTGCTCGTGCTGCTCCTCCTGGCCCTGGCCACAATCTTTGCCCTCGTCTGCGTGCTGCTGACCCGGGCACGGGCCCCCAGCGCCTGCCAGCAGCAGCCCTCGGCACAGGAGGAAGCGGACGACGGCCACAGCCGGGTCTTTGCTGACCTGACACCCGAGGAGCTGGCACAGGTGGTGCAGTACCTGCGGGTCAGCCTCGGGGTGCCGCTGGCCGATGCAGCGCATGCCAAACCCTCCGACAACTGCATTGCCTCTGTGGACGTGCAGCTCCCGGCCAAGGCAGAGGTGCTGCGGTTCCTGGATGCTGGAGGGGCTCGCCCACCCCGTGAGGCACTGGCTGTGCTGTACTTTGGGGCCCAGGCAGAGCCCAACGTCACCGAGTACGTGGTGGGCCCACTGCCAGCACCAACGTACCACCGGGACGTCACGGTGCAGAAGTACGGGGGGAAGGTGCCGTACCACCGCAGACCAGCGTTGCCCGCTGAATACAAACAGGTTGCTGATTTTTTTAAAAAACAGGTGTTCCCTGCAGCTCCATCCTTCATGGACCAAGTGATGGAGTATGACGGGGCCAACCTGGCCGCTGTGACAGCTGCTCCCCGTGGATCCCGGTCTGGAGATCGGCTCACTTGGTTTGTCGTGTTTCAGAATGTGAGTGGGTTCTTCCTGCACCCAGTGGGGCTGGAGGTGCTGGTGGACCACAGCAGCCTGGATCTCACACAGTGGGCAGTCCACAGAGTTTTCTACAATGGGCAGTACTACAGGGACATGTCTGAGCTGGAGAGAATCTATGTGCGGGGTGGTGTCCATGTGGAAAAGGTGAGAAGAGCATCGCAGGATGGGGACTTCTCGTCTATGAGGCCACGAGCACCGGTGGCTGCAACATTCCCTTTGCAGTATGAGCCGCAGGGGCCGCGGTACAGCATCAGGAAAAACCTCATCATTTTCCAGGCCTGGAGCTTTGCCTTTGGAATGAGTGTGACGACGGGCATGCGCCTGTTTGACATCCGATACAATGGGGAGAGGGTTGTGTACGAGATGAGTGTGCAGGAGGCGCTGTCAGTGTATGGCTCCAACTGCCCTGGAGGGATGTCCACCCGCTACATGGACAGCAGCTTTGGCATTGGGCGCTACTCCTCACCCCTGGTGCGTGGGGTCGACTGCCCGTACACGGCCACCTATGTGGACACGCACACCCTACATGAGGGCTTGAGCTCCAGCAGGAGGACGGCAGCCCTCTGCATCTTCGAGCAGAACCTGGGCTCCCCTCTGCGGCGCCACTACTCCAACCTACAGTTGTTGTACTATGGTGGCATGGTCAACTCCGCGCTGGTCGTTAGATCCATCACCACTGTGGGTAACTATGACTATGTCTGGGACTTCATCTTCTACCAGAATGGGGCCATCGAAGGCAAAGTCCAGGCCACGGGGTACACAAGCTCATCCTTTTTCCATGGGAACGGTCTACAGTATGGCAATAGAGTTTGGGAGCATACCTTGGGTACAATTCACACCCATTTTGTCAACTATAAAGTAGACTTGGATGTGGGAGGTAGGTCTTATCTCCCTTTCATATATGCCATTATAATGGGGAATGTCTCAGCTCGGGTGGGATTCTGGTCTCTGGAGTCCCTTGCAGTTGCTGTCAGATCTCTGCTTTTTCTATCTCCCAACCTTTAATTGCAAAATTATTTTTCTGTGTATGTATTTGTCCGTCCAGGTAATGGAGTTGCAGGCAGAGGAAATTGTCTGGGAGCTCTGTATTCATCCTAGGGAAAGTATGAAAAGTAGCAGCTGCAAACATCTGTGTTTCCTTGAGGCCCCATGTCTGGCACAGTGCATGTTGTCAAAAGCATGGCCAGGCAGACGGGGCAGGCACAGCCCTGTCTGCAGCACGAGAAGTGTGAGCTGGCTCCTGCAATGCCTGGTGCTATTCCTGGCATCCTCTCATGCTTTGGGGAAATGCATGCTCTCCTGTGTGGTGTACAGCACTGACCATCTGCAGATCTATCCTTCCATCCCTTTCAAGGAAATCTGTGTAGCTAGATCCTGAGCCTGTCTCTCATCACTGCAAGGAACCAGAGTATTCCCTGCTCCTGCATGGAGGCATGGGTTCCTGTGGGAGCAGTTCTCTGCTGCAGTGAAGGGTTGAGTGCTGCCTTGCAGTGCACACAGGCTGAGCACATAAGGTTTATTTCCCCTCCCAGGCTGATTCAGATTCTGCAAGTCAGGAAGAAACTGGGGCTGCACTGGAGCAGAGGGCACCAGCCGGTAATGCATGGGCTATTTTACATTGAAACCTGCCCCTGTAAAAGGGGTGGGAAATATTTTACATTGTCAGAGAATCAGCAGGATCCATCAGGAGGTTGTGGGCTGCCTTGCCCAAGCCCAGCAGCAGTGCAGCTCCATGACCCCTGCTGAGCTAGAGCAGCTGTGGCACGCATCCCTCGCATGCAGTGGGGCTGTGCCTGCTGCATCCCACTGCTTCATGTAGCCTTGAGCAATGCTGCTTTCCAGCATCAGGCTCAAAAACAGAGCTGAGTCTGATCCCCTTCCTGTGAACAAGGCTTGAGAGCATGCTAAGCAGCTAAAGGTCCATTTATGTGGCTGCTGTATCTCTGCATTCCCTGCTTTGTTTGCACACCTGGAGCCTTGAAGCAAGAGCAGTGGAGAAGAATTGTGTCAAGGCCCAAGCAGAGGAAAGGAAGTGTTTATGCTGAGCTGAGCACCAGGACTAGAGGCAATTCAGGGTGCCTGACGGGTTCTCCTACCCCATGTCCTGCAGCACGAGCATAGCATCCCCTACATGAGGCGTGCTGCAAGGCAGCTGTGGGACCTGAAGAGAAAAGGGAGTGGAATGAGACAGAAAACAGAAGGATCTGAATTAATGTGGTGGCAGAAAACCAATATGGAGCTATGAGACTTCATCTTCTACCAGGACGGAGCCGTCAAAGCCAAAGTCCAGGCCACGGGGTATATGAGCTCCTCTTTTTTTCCATGGAGATGGTACAGCAGTAGGATTTAGGTTTCTGGCTACAATATGCACTCATCCTGTCAACTTTAAAATAGATTTGGATGTGGGAGGTAGGTCTGGGTTTTGTCTCTTTTGAGCTCTCTATGAGTTCTTTCAGACTCCCCCACTAGTTTTTCTTCCCACATGTGGGGTAGGTGATGTGCTCTCATAGAGAGCGTTAAGGTTGTTTTTTCCTCTACAACTTCTGTTTTAATCTGTCCCTGTGCTCCTGTTGACATTTTATATGCTGTAAACTACCACCATGTATTTTAAATTTGTTTGTTTCTCATTGAGAATCGCCTAGAAACTTAATAACTACTCTAAGTCTTTTTAGGATGATTTTAGAGTCCTTCTGGAGTGGAGGAGGAAAAAAAAAAAAAGGAGGGATTGCAAAATGAAAGAAATAGGGAAAAGGCAGGTGGAATCTCAGTCCGTCACTGGAAAGGGAGGTATGGAGTTGGAAGTTTTTGTCCACGTCACAAAAAAGATGAGAAGAAGCACAACAATGGCTGCATGGGTCCCTTTCTATAGGTATTCCAGCCTCTCATGCTGACTTCACCTGCAATGCTGGGGCCTGGTTCCAAAGCTCTGGTCAAACCTTGCAGGTGCTGGAGACTGGCAGAAATTTGCTGCTGGGTCCTTCATCATCTCTTGGCCATTCTATCACTAGATTTCTTTGCTCTTCATGCTGCTCCTGTTGCTGTGAGCCCTTGCCTGTTGTATCATCTTTGTGGAAAGACCAGAACTGCTCCATTTTTGTAATGTGCAGATGTGCTCAGAGCCTATGCTCTATCTGGTGCAGCCTTGCAGGATGCATTCTGATGAGCAGAAACACGGTGCTTGGGCTGTCAGGTGCTCAGGTTAATCAGACAGAGCTCATACTGGTTCTTCTGCCCTTGGAGGGGTTCCTTTTCTGCTCTCATCAAGGACGAGAGTGCACAGGAATGGCACCATATGACACAGTGCTGTGTTTCACCAGCTAAACAAACTACAGAGCATGGCATGCCATTGCACAGTAGAAGCAGGGAGCAATAGTTACTCTTGTCTGCAGGTAGTGGTGATTGGAGCCTGGGGTGCAGGAAGGGTCAATGGAGAGAGTGGGATCTGACTGCTGGAAAGTTTCTCAGATGCTTTGTTTTTCCTCATAGAGGTGAAGAACTCTTTGGTGGCCCATGACATGGCATTTGAGGTGGCACAGGCTCCCTGGAACCCAGAGCAGCAGATTGAGCGTCCACGGCTCACAGAGAAGGCCCTGGACACGGAGGACCAGGCTGCCTTCCGGCTCCACTCCACAATGCCCAGATACATCTACTTTGCAACCAACAAGAAAAACAAGTGGGGCCACCAACGTGGCTACAGGATTCAAATCATCAGCTTTGCAGGGGATCACATTCCCGAAGCCAGCTCCATGGAGAGGGCCATCAGCTGGGCAAGGTCAGACTGCTCTGATGGGGTCACTGAGAACTATGCAATGCCTCCAGCCTCACTGGCTGAGGCGGTGCTGCAGGGATGCTCCCCGTGGGGAGGGAAGAGGTGGTTGCAGCCTGGTGCTTTGGTTACTCCATAGGACCAGCCTTGTAATCTGCAGGCTCCAGGGAGCAGCCTTTAGCTCTGCCCTGCCCCAGGGTCCTGTCTCTGTCCTTGTCCCCAGGTACAAGCTGGCTGTCACCAGGCGGAAGGAGGAAGAACCCACTAGCACCAGTGTCTACAACCAGAACGACCCTTGGACTCCCACTGTCGCTTTTGCTGACTACATCAACAATGAAACTATCACCAATGAGGTGAGGAGGGGCTGGAGGCATGGGCTGCTGGCGCTGGCCACAGCATCTCACACATTGCTCATGGGATCCACCGGGGCATCAGCAAAGCATGAGGAGAGTGGGTTAGAGTGTTGCTGGGCTTTAGGGACATGGGCTGCGGGTGCCCATTGAGGTACCTTCTGCTCTCCTGTGCCCAGATTTCAGTCTAAAATAACCACAGTCATGTACCTCCTGCCTAGGACCTGGTGGCCTGGATAACTGCTGGTTTTCTCCATATTCCTCACTCAGAAGATATTCCCAACACGTTGACGGTGGGAAATTCAGTTGGTTTTCTCCTGAGACCCTACAACTACTACGACTTGGACCCCTCCATTTACTCACCCGATGGCGTGTTTTTCACCAGCGAGCAGAACTTCATGGCATGTGAGGTTAACCCCATCACCTGCCTGTCCCAAACTGCCTCCTGCTTGCCAAGCTTCCCCCCATTCACCTATGACGGATTCCAAAATATCAGCAGGCTTTAGAGGTCCAGGGCTAGAGGCTGACTGATCTCCCATGGATATTAATTTCTTTTAGTGGAGTTTTCTTTGTTTGCAGTTCTGTAACAACTTTACTTTTTATTGTGGCTTTCATAATGTAGTAATCTGTATGTGTGAAGCATGCTGCTCAGTAGAGGTCTGCAGAGTCTCTGCTAACTGCTGCATGCCAGGGGTAAAAGTGAGGAGAAAATACTCTTCCTCTGTTGTAGCAACAAATGCTGTGTAGTGTCAATGTCAGGTTTAAAAAAAAAAAAAAAAAAAAAAAGAAAAAAATCCAGTGCTGTTCTGCCTCTCTTGTTTTATGCTTCCAGCAATGGCTGCTGGGGGGTCTTGGGGCACCGTGTTCAGTGCAGGGAATTCAAGGGGAAGGCAGTGCCAGGGGCACACTTCTTTCTCCCTGCTGTCCGGCTGCGTCCTCCCTGTGCTGCAGCGAAGCCTGCGGGACAAACCGGGAAGGGCGGGAGCAGAAAGTTCATTTTAAAACTGTGGTCTGCTGGGGGAAGCAGAGCAGAGTTGCCTTTTATGGTTCCCAGCAATCCAGGCAAATCTGAGAGCAATGCGGTGTGCCCTCCCTATGAGCTCATCCAGGCCATCCTCTCTTCAGAAGACAAGGGAGAAAAAACGCCCAGCCCACCAAATCCAAGCTGACAGAAGCAGCGACTAGAAAAGCCTCGAAACCAGCAGCAGCATGAACATGAAAACCGTGCTCGTGCTGCTCCTCCTGGCCCTGGCCACAATCTTTGCCCTCGTCTGCGTGCTGCTGACCCGGGCACGGGCCCCCAGCGCCTGCCAGCAGCAGCCCTTGGCACAGGAGGAAGCGGACGACGGCCACAGCCGGGTCTTTGCTGACCTGACACCCGAGGAGCTGGCACAGGTGGTGCAGTACCTGCGGGTCAACCTCGGGGTGCCGCTGGCCGATGCAGCGCATGCCAAACCCTCCGACAACTGCATTGCCTCCGTGGACGTGCAGCTCCCGGCCAAGGCAGAGGTGCTGCGGTTCCTGGATGCTGGAGGGGCTCGCCCACCCCGTGAGGCACTGGCTGTGCTGTACTTTGGGGCCCAGGCAGAGCCCAACGTCACCGAGTACGTGGTGGGCCCACTGCCAGCACCAACGTACCACCGGGACGTCACGGTGCAGAAGTACGGGGGGAAGGTGCCGTACCACCGCAGAGCTGTCACTGGTGTGGAGTACGCAGCCATCAATGAGCTCATCCAGAAGGAGCTGAGGAAGGCACCACGCTTCCTTGCTGCATGCTGTGCATCTGATGGAACCGATCTGGCCACGATCACCACTGCACCCCGGGGCCTCAAGTCTGGAGATCGCACCACGTGGTTTGTCCTCTTCCATGGTGTTGCTGGCAGTGGTTACTTCGTCCTGCCTGTGGGGCTGGAGGTGCTGGTGGAGCACGGGCCGCTCGATGTCTCCCAGTGGTACCTGCGCCGGATCTTCTACAATGGACACTACTTCCACAGCACTGCTGAGCTGGAGAATGCGTTTGTGACCAAGTCACTGAAGGTGGTTGTGGTTCAGAAGCCCCAGGAAGACACAGTGCTGGGCTCCATGAGACCCCTCCGCTCACCTGGTGCTCCGGGGCCACTTCAGTTTGAGCCCCAGGGGCCGCGGTACAGCGTCAGGGACAACCGTGTCACCTACCAGGGATGGAGCATCGCTTTTGGCATGAACCCCAACACTGGCCCACGGCTCTTCGACATCCGTTTCCGTGGGGAAAGAATAATCTATGAGCTGAGCCTGCAGGAAGCCTTAGCTCTGTATGGCTCCAACTGCCCTGGAGGGATGTCCACCCGCTACCTCGATGGCAGCTTTGGCATCGGCAGATTTGCCTATGAGCTGGTCCGGGGCGTTGACTGTCCCTACATGGCCACCTATGTGGATCGGCACTACCTGTCCGAGTCAGACGTCCCCAGAACCAACCAGAATTCACTCTGCATTTTTGAGCATGACACTTCCCTTCCTCTGCGGCGCCACTTCTCTGACACACATTCCTTGTACTATGGAGGGCTGCGGAAGAACACCCTGGTCATTCGTGCTGTCTCCACACTCATTAACTATGACTACATCTGGGACTTCATGTTCTACAATAATGGGGCTGTGGAGGTCCGGGTCCATGCCACTGGCTACATCAGTTCCTCCTTCTTCCATGACCAGGGCACTGACTATGGCAACAAAGTTGGGCCATATACACTGGGGACAATGCACCTGCACCACATTCACTACAAGGTGGACCTGGATATTGATGGTAGGTCTCATCTTGTGCGGTCACCAGGCTTTGAGAAGGCCATTTGCCCCCGTGGGTGAGCACTTTGCCTACAGGCATGCTCTGTATCTCAAAATGCAGCTCCTTGGCTGCATTTCTTGGTGAGATGCAGCCCTACCTCAGGTGTGGAATTCAAGGGGATTCTCCCTTTTACTTCACAGGGCAGCTGAACTCACTGGAGTCCCATGACATGGGGTACCAGACGGTGAGCATCCCCTGGAGCCCAGAGAACACCCTCCAGCAGCCGTTCCTCCGCCGGGAGAGGCTGGAGAGAGAGAACAAGGCAGCGTTCCCCCTCAATGCCTCTCTCCCTCGCTACCTCTCCTTCACTGGCCCGAAGCCCAACCGCTGGGGACACCTTCGCAGCTACCGAGTGCAGGTGGTCAGCTTCCCTGGGGAGCACCTGCCCACCAGCAGCCCCATGGAGAAAGCCATCAGCTGGGGCAGGTAGGTGAGAGGCTGAGGCTGCAAGCTGCAATTGTGCTGCAAGCAGCCTAGGGATGCAATGCATGGGCAGTCCTGTGTTCTGTGCCAATGGGACCCACTAATACCAGTCCTGCGGGTGCCTCAGCCTGATCCCCTCCTGCTGACAGAATAGGGTCTGCTAAGCCTGTCTGCAAGGGAAGGGTTAAATAACAAGCTCATCTGCTTCTTGTCTCTGACAGTCCCTAGAAAAATTGCTCAATGGCATCTGTTCGTAGTAGTTCCCATGCAGGAATCTGACCCCAGATAAGTTTAATTTAGAACGATCACGTGTTTTCCCAAGGGCTGCATTGGTATCCATAGGTCTTGACTCCTCTGCATAAGGACAGGATGCCTTTTGGAAAAATGCTCTGGAAAACTGCAGTGCTGGCTTGCAACCAGGGTGAAATTTAATGGCCTGTGTTCTGGGGGAGGTTGCGTAAGTTAGACCTAAAGTCAAAGCATTGGGCTGTGTCTCTCATGGGCGGCAAAGTCCTGCAAGTCCCATAGTGCAGGAGCTGTTGCTTGTGCTGCACCCATACTGTGCCCTGTCTCAGTGTCACAGTGCCTCCTGCTCTAACAGGTACAAGCTGGCTGTCACCAGGAGGAAGGAGGAGGAACCCACCAGCACCAGTGTCTACAACCAGAATGACCCTTGGACACCCACTGTCACTTTTGCTGACTTCATCAATGATGAAACCATCGCTAACGAGGTGAGTGGGAGTACTGAGCTCCTTAGGACTGCTTGTGGCTGGGACTTCATGGTCACAGTGGGTGGGAACAGGGATGGAAGGGTCGGCGCAGCTGATGAGATGCTCTGGTCTCCCCTCTCTGTCCCAGGACCTGGTCGCGTGGATTTCTGTGGGGTTCCTCCACGTTCCTCATGCTGAGGACATCCCCAACACAGTGACTGTGGGGAACAGTGTTGGCTTTTTCCTGAGGCCCTACAACTACTTTGACGAGGACCCCTCGCTGTACTCGCCTGACGGCATCTATTTCAGCAGTGAGCAGGGGATAGGGGCATGTGGAGCCAACCCCCTCGCCTGCCTGCCCGCAGCCACCTGTGCCCCACGCCTGACACCCTTCCAATACGGCGGCTTCGTCAACATCAGCCTGGGCTCCCCACTTGGTGGGCACTGATGGGATCAAAGAGGAGGACAGGTGCTGGTACAGATAGCCTGTGCCATTGGGCTGCATTCTTTGAGGGCCTTCAGTGATGGAGTGAGTGCAGCCAGCTGGCTGGGACCTGCCATGCTCACTTCCTCCTTCAGGTCACGATGTGAGGCTCTATCCCACCGAGTAGTCAGGTGCTTCTGTGGTGATAGAGCTGCCCTTGGAGCTTTGCTGCTCAGTGACTGCTCCTCCAGGTGATGCTGGGTGCCAGCTGCTGTGGCAGCACTGAGTGCTGGGAACAGTACCGGGGATAAGGATGCTGCACTGGATGAGCATGCTGCACGATGGCAGTCTGGTGCCCAGCCAGCTCCAATAAAGAAGCACGTTAGTGCATTTTCTGACCCAACTTTTGTATAGCTTGTCAGCGTGGCTTCTGATGGTCAGAACCTGGATGCTGGTGGTGTTATGAGGCTATGTTGGTTTGCAGGCACTTGCCAGAGAGGGCAAAGGTTCAGTGGTGGGCACAATGCCCAGCATAGCCATGTGAGTGTACACTGGCTGTACTCTTGGACTCCTGTGTGTTGGTAGGACCCTTCTGCAGCAGAATATGGGACAAACAAAGGAGTTAATGTGTAACAGCTGTATTAAGCTGGATTAATTGGTTCTGGCCTTGGCTGCTGGCTGGAGCTTTGTTCTCACCCCCCAGCTTGGGGTCCCTTGCTCCAGTGCCTGCACAGCCCCAGCTGCAGGAGCATGGAACCCATCCCCACTGCACTCGGCTGGGTCGGGGCTGCAGTATGCCAGGATTCAGTGGGGTTTGTCTCCAGCCCTGGCACATAGCAGGCAGTTGTCTGCTGTGTCACCAGGAGCTGCAAAGGGATTTGCCCTCCCCAGGGGCTGTGACATGATGGCCTTGAGGAGCCCTAATGGCAGCAAATATATTCTGGACGCACCTTGGATTGCAGCAGAATGGAGGGACTGCAACATGGGGAAGTGATTTAGGGTGGGATTAGTTGCACTGCATGCTCAGGTGATGGCTGGGGGTATCAGCCCTGGGAGCCCGGGGGAGCAGCTACAGCACTCCCTGTGCAGGGATGTACTCCTGTGTGTTTACAGGTACTGCCTGGACTCTGCCCACATGCTGACGCAGGCAGTGCTGACCTTGTTTCCAGCCCCAGCACCGCAATGGACTGAGAATCTTCTGGATGAAACCGTGGTGCTAAGGGGCAGCCAAGTGTGACAGTGTGCGCTGTGCATGCCTTGGCCGTGTGTGGTGGCTTGGGAACTGTGGGGACGCTGTGTCCTGGAGCCAGCTGCTGTCACTGCAGGGCATCCAGCTCCTGGGTTGCCAGCTCATCTGGCTGTGACTGTAGGGGAGCCATTGTTCCCATTCCAGTTCCTGGCCTCTCCCAAATGCAATCCCCTTTTGTTGCTGTGACTCTTTCCAAAGGGGCTGGAGTATGCCTGTCCTGCTTGTCCCATCCCCCAGTTCCTTTTGCTCCCATTTTCTGCAGCAAAGCTTTTGAGGGATTAATTGCTGTTTCAAAACACGTTGATGTGGGAGCCAAGCCCATTGAATTCCTTTGTGCTGGCCAAAAGCTCTCAGCTGAGGACACCAAAATGAGCTGCTGAGGAATTTAGTTTTGCAAGAGTAATTCTATTTCTGTGTAAACTTCTGCTCCATTTTGGGTGCTGGGGGTTAGGATGCTGTGCTCTCCCTCAAGTGTGTGCCAGCACAGAGCAGATGTTCTGGGGCTGGACCCTGCCAGCCTGCACCAAGGTTTACCTGTGCTCACACTTCCCTTCCCTGGGAGCATCAGAGCAGCCCCAGCTCGTCAGGACACCAAGACTCAGCTGATTGCAGCGCGCCAGTGATGCTGCTGCTCTGCCGTGCTATCTCCAGCCTCTTGCTGCTCTGCACCTCAAGGTAGATCTCTAAATATTTTCACTGCCCTAAATAAACCAGTGTTTGCCAATAAAAACAGTCCTTCCTGGGCCTGGCAGCTGCAAGTGTGGACATCATGGTGGTCGCTTGAGGTGGGGGGCAGGAAGAGGGAGGACGCTGCCCTGTGCCTTCCTCTGCTGCTGCTGCTGGACACAGCCTCTGCATTGCGTCAAACTGCACCATGGAGCAGTTCAAGGCTCCTGACCTGAACTTTCTAGAGGAGTGAGAGATAAGTGGTACATTTTCACTGGCTGCTAATCATTAACACTCTGCTGTCTGTTCCTGCTGTGTGTACAGCTGTGTGCCTGGGGTTCTGGCCAGGAGCCCTGTGCTGCTCTGCTGTGTGTCCCTGCAGCAGCCAGGGATGGACAGCTGGATTTGTCCTGCTGGACTGACCCCAGTGTTCCAGAATCCTTAACTCCCAAAGAGGAACAGGAAAATAGATCTGTCAGTGCTGCGTGGTTGGGGTGGAAAGATGACAGGCAGGGACCCCATGTGACAAGGGATGTCTTCAGCTCCATCTGCATTTCTGAGGGCTGGCAGGGCAGGAAGGATTAACCTGGGGATATGCTAGTTAGGATCGCTCTCCCTGCCTGGTTTGCATAGGTCCTGGAATCCTACAGCTCAGGAAAACACTGCTGGCAGCCAAGACCTCCCCGGCCTTGCTCTGGGAATCTCCTGAAACAGCTTGGGAAGTTTCCTGCTGAAGAGAGCACTGGTGTGTCAGCCTGGCAAAGACTGGTGATGACAGCGCATTGTCATCAGGTGCAGGTTTCAGAGGGGGTCAGGGTATGGAGCAGTCCCTGCTCTATGCAGAACCTGATCCACAGAGGGATAGGATAAATGTCACTCCATCCCTTTGCAGGTGTGCAAACCTCTCCCCTGCTAGTGAACATTGAGGTTCACTAGCAGACCAGGTGTTTTTGTTTTTTTTGAGGGCGAGCCAGACAGAGCAGGGGCTACAGAATTTCCCTCCCTGAGTAATGGGACAGTGAAGGCTTAAGGCTCCTACAGGCATGCCCTATGCCACCCTGCAGCCTGTTTTTCCCCTTTTTGCAAGTTGTTCCAAGCACGTTTGTAACAACCCGTCAGTGATGCACCCTTCAGCAAAAGTGGTTTTGGGTCCAAAGATCAATGCTGGGGCAAGTGACCTATCGGCAGCAAACACGAACCCGTGGGGTATAAAACTGCGGTGGAGCACGGGACAGCCTGAACCAAGCAGGAGGCTGCGGAGGAGGATGGAAGCCCCCATGAACCTTCTGCATGATGCAGGCATCCAGGCAACGCACTGGCTGCAGGAGCATTTCCAGGGCTCTCAGGACTGGTTCCTCTTTATCTCCTTTGCTGCAGACCTCAGGAACACTTTCTTTGTTCTTTTCCCTATCTGGTTCCACTTATGTGAGCCAGTGGGCATTCGGCTTATCTGGGTGGCTGTGATCGGGGACTGGCTCAACCTCGTCTTCAAGTGGTGAGTAGTGCTGTACTGCAGCTCGCTGCAGGTGCACCAACATGGCTGGATTAATATAGCCAGATGTGTGCCCAGTCCTGATTTACTGCCTTATACTCTAAGCATGTGATGGGGACAGGTGGCCTTTGCCTATGCTGGCACGATGTTATGGCTGCTCATAGCCTGAAAAAGGCATGGAAGGAGCAGACATATCCTCTTCTCAGCTTGCTCCCAGGGCATTCCTGCTCCTCGTCTTAAGGGTTTGGGGATAGGGACAGTGGCAGGTGCTGTCTGGGTGCTATTTTGACACTTTCCAGCTCACAGCCAGAGCTGGAACCACAGCCCATTCTGGTGGCCAGGCCAACCTCAAATCCCTTTCTATTTTCATTTCAGGATCCTGTTTGGGGAGAGGCCGTACTGGTGGGTGCATGAGACTGATTATTACAGCAACACCTCTGCGCCGACCATCCAGCAGTTCCCACTCACCTGCGAGACTGGCCCCGGTAGGGTCCCCTGCTCTGACAAAAGCAGTTGGCACTTTGCCCAGGGACCCAGGAGTCCTGATCCTAGGCCAGGGAGGTGCTGGCACAGCCAGGACTGTTATCTCAGCCATTATCACTGAGCTGTGGGGCCACTGCCATGCTCTGGTGCAGAGCAGACTTTTACCCTTGGTGTGTGCAGATGTGGCAGTTTAGCACAAACTCTGCCTGTGCTGGGCTGCAGAGATGGTGGGGACCTGGATCATCTTGTGATGGAGAAAGGCTGAGAGCCCTGGTGCTGTTCACTTGGCAAAGAGAAGGCACTGAGGGGATCTGATGAGTGCTGATCAGTATCTGAAGCATGGAGGTGGTGACCAGCACCAGAACAGGGGACACTGGGCACAGAAGGTTCTGTGACTGCGAGGAAGAACTTCTGTGATGTGAGAGTGGTGGAGCTCTGGCACAGTTGCCCAGAGAGGTGCTGGAGTCTCCTTCTCTGGAGATACCCAAACCCATCTGGACTCATTCCTGTGCAACCTACTCTGGGAAAACTGCTGGGGGGGAACAGAAGGGGGTCAGGAGGGTTGAACTGGGGGAACTCCAGAGGTCCCTTCTGCCTCCCACAGTTCTGCGATCCTGTGCTCCCTGTGCCACGCTATCACCTGCCTGCAGGCTAGGGATGGTGCTCAGTGCCCCTGGAGCACGAGGGCAGCAGGGACAGCCTGCCCTGAGGGGGCTGACCTAAGGCTTGCTTCTTACCCAGGGAGCCCCTCCGGCCATGCCATGGGTGCAGCAGGAGTGTACTACGTCATGGTGACTGCCCTGCTTTCCATCGCCATGGGCAAGAAGCAGTCAAAAACATTGAAGTACTGGTGAGTGTGTGCAAGCCCTGAACCAGAGATGAAAGGGATGCAGGTGGACCCACTTAGGAAGCAGCACTACAATGCTCTGGCACCACTCAAAGTCCATAGAGGCAGCATGCGCTAGTTTTGGCACTGATGGAGCCCTCTACCCCTTGCAGGATTCTGTGGATCATGCTGTGGACGGGGTTCTGGGCTGTTCAGGTCTGTGTCTGTCTGTCCCGCGTTTTCATCGCTGCCCACTTTCCACATCAGGTCATCGCAGGGGTCATATCTGGTGAGCTCACTTTGTTTCTATCCCTTCCACAACTTAGCACACTCCTGTGCTCCCATTGTGTGCACAAAAAAGGAGCAGGAGCAAGCAAGAACTGCAGACAGTGGCTCTGCACTTGTTGCTGTTGAGAAGGAGCCTTTGTCCACGTGCCACTGGATGTGGGCTGGGGGACATGGGAAGAGAAATTTGAGAGCGTAAGGGTGCAGCAGTAACTGTCAGGACTGCACCGCAATCTGGAACTGCTCTTCATCCCACTCTGACTGCTAGTACCTCTTCTTCTGGCAGGCATGGCCGTGGCTGAGACCTTCCAGCACATCCACTCCATCTACCATGCCAGCCTCCGCACGTACCTGGGCATCACCTTCTTCCTCTTCAGCTTCGCCTTGGGCTTCTACCTGCTGCTGCGTGTGCTTGGTGTTGAACTGCTCTGGACGCTGGAGAAGGCACAGAGGTGGTGTGCCCGTCCTGAGTGGGTCCACATTGACACCACGCCCTTCGCCAGCCTTCTTCGCAACCTGGGCATCCTCTTTGGGCTGGGGCTGGCCCTGAGTTCCCACATGTACCTGGAGAGCTGCCGCGGGAAGCAAGGCCGCCAGCTGTCCTTCCGCCTAGGCTGTGTTGCCGCCTCGCTGCTGGTCCTGCACCTCTTTGATGCCTTCAGGCTGCCCTCCCACATGCAGCTGCTCTTCTATGTCCTTTCCTTCTGCAAGAGCGCAGCTGTGCCGCTGGCCACCGTCGGCCTCATCCCCTACTGCATCTCTCAGTTTCTGGCCACGCAGGACAAGAAGGGTGTCTAGGGGCAGGTAACAGCATGGCCACCCTGGCTCAGGAACCATGGGATCGTGGGGGTTGTGCTGGTTTCTCCCCATTATAGCTTCATGGGCTGACTCCAGCATGGCGTGCACCCACAGTGCCAGATGCACCACAGGTGCCTGTGGCACAAGGGACAGAGACAGCAAGAGCAAGGCACTGTGCAGTTGTGGGTGCTCAAAGGCTGTGGCAAGGCAGCTCTGCAGGGGGACAGGCAGGAGGTGGAAACAAACACCAGCTTGTGGGAGCCCTCAGCCCCTGCACAGTGCTCACTGGGCAGTGAGAACCACTGCCCAGTGTTCACTGCTGCGTGGAGCAGCTCTGGGTACGTGTGTGTATACAAGCACGTACATGCAGCGTTGTGTCTCTAAACAAGGTGTATTTTATTAAAGCTGAAGATGTACTTTATTGGTGAGTTCAGCTGTCTTGTGGGTGTGGGGATGGTGCCCAAGTGCTATCCCCAGGGACAGGGAGGCTGTTGGTGCTGAAAGAAGGATATTCCTTCTCAGGTCCTGCTCCTGCCTGCTGCAAGACATGGCTGGAAACACAAGGAGAGGTAGCACCAGGCTTCTCCAAGTCTTCCTGCTGCCTAGAACATGCAGGCATGTAAAGGAGAACTCAGGAGTTCTGGGAAGGTGCATGGGGGTGTCCTGACTGAAGTTCAGTAGTGGCTGCACACAGGGCAGGGAGGCAAAGCTGCTTTTGTGCTCTTTGTTCAGGGGCCCTGTATGCACCACATGCCAGCAATGAAGACACATTTGTGTCACCTCACTACTGAGGGCAGCAAGTAGAGCTTCAAGACCCAGCAGACTAAGGCTGTGTGGGGTCAGTGCAGTGCTGCTTGGCAATCCCACATCCCCTGTACCCTGCCCCATTAGCAGAACAGCTGACTGTGATAGGAGTGACTCTGGTACATAAACCCACAAAGCACGGTTAAAGCTCATGACAGTAATCAGCGCATGCTGGCAACTGTCAGAGACAATGCATGTACAAGGTGCGTGCAGCCCAGATGTGGTGTCTAATGCTGCATGCACAGGGTGATAAAGACCAAACAGCAAATCACCCGAGCCCCATGTTAAAATCCCGTCCAAAGCAAAGTGGGCTGTAAACATCTAAGGATAGAGTTCAGCTGTGGAGCTCGTTTTTTACAGGAGAAGCTTCAATAGGAAGCTTACCTAGATCAGCAACTCCCAGGTTTCCACTGGCTGAGAAAGGACAGTGTTGGCCAAGTTGTCAGTCCAGTTGGGCAAGGATGCACCCAGCACCTCTGGGCACCTTGTACATCAGGAACAAGGACTACTGCTTCCCCTCCTCCTGCAGTAAGGAATCACAACAGGTGCTGATGGCCTGTGCACAGCCTTGACCCTTAGCCTGATCCTGCTATTCACAAACAGCTCAATAGCTGGCAGAGGGCTCTGCTGTTCGTTGACTGACAGCGCAACATGGGCAAACGAGGAAACCACGTAGGCTGCTGCTATCCTATACATTCATGATAGATAAACATCTTTAAGATGGAGATTTGTCTGTCTTTATTTTTCTGTTTATTACGAACATCTTGACTAAACCTGCCATGCTGGTTCTAGGAGGGAAAAAAACAATACCTAGACCATATCGGGTGCTTTTTGACCATGGCTCTCCAGTGCCCCCTTTGTTTCTGCAGCTGAAGTTGTAGCAGCTTTGGGAACTGCTGGCAGAAATGGCAAGCTGGAGAGACATGGAGTAGTAGTCCTGCCTAACTCCATGGGATTTTAAATGGGACTTTTTTTGTCTTTATTTTCTGGGAGAGAACTTAGTGGAGATCATACAAAGCAAGGACGACAGCCCTACTTTTAAAATTCTTTCTTTATGCTTCATCTCTTTGTTGACTGATGAATTCCTGGAGCAGAGCTTGCACTTCTCCCCGACGACTCATCTTGGTTGCCTTGCCCTGGTAGCGGCCTCGCTTCCCAGCTCCTTTGCCTTCCAGCAGCTCTGCCACCCTGCAGAAACGTCAGGACGTGCTGAAGGCCACTCACTTGCAGAGGAAAGTAGTTCGTTCTAACCTGCTCAGTGAGCATAGAAGGGTCCATGCCCTAATTACACTGCTCAGCTGCTTGGGCAGAAGTCTAACTCATTTTAAAGAAACCATAGAACGTAGTACCTGGGACCTAAATTCTCAACTGCTTCAACAGATCCAGCTAGAAGAAAGAGACCTGCTTCTTTTTCATCTCCCACAGTCAGGAACAGCAGGATATCCTGTAGACAGAGAAAGGGATGATGCTCCCAAAGGGCCAGTGCCCTCCTTTTCCCATTAAGACATTAAAACAAGTTGTAAGTTTGTGCTCATTACTGAAACTCAATTTGAAGTAAAAGGGGAGGGAGCTTTTGAAGCTTTCAGACTGAATTGTATATTTGTGGGGGACCAATCAGGAACCGGAGTTAGCTTGTCCAAAGTTAGCATGCCCAAAGAGGATCTGTATGGCTTTCTGTGAGACAGGCTCTTCCACAGTGCTCTGAATTTTCACTGCTGTATTTTTTGACTATTGAGGATCCCCAGCACCCTGAGGCTTTTGGGAACCACAACCTCTTCTGGAAGGAAAGAGACTTGTAGCTTGTGACTACGGTGCAAATGGAAGCCTATCCAGCCTTGCTACAAAGTTGAATGAAAACACCACTGGTGGCAGGTTAGTCTGTATCAACGACTCACCTCTTTCCCAATCTCATTAGCGATGATGTTCATAAACTCAGAGTCACCCTCTTTCCTGCATGGACAGGTAAAAAGCCACTTCAGAGAAAAAAAAAGTATATATATCCACACCAGAGTCCAAAACATTAACAACAAATGGCAGGCAATGACTCTCCAAGCATAGCTTTTTCCAGTTTTCCATTTTGTTTGCTTAAGACTAAAATTTCCACTAACATCAGAGAAGTTGAAAGGTAAGATCTGCAAGCACAGCCTATGATTGTGCCTGAGGTTTTGGCCTCTTGCTATCAGGCTGCAGATTATTTTTCTATACATATAAATCCTTTTTGTAATTTCTTGTGGGTATATTAGGAATTATATAAGTGTTTAAGAAATCAAGCTCCTCAATTTTATTTGAAAATACTGTGAGCAAAAAGACATGAGACAGACACAATCATTTCTTAGCTATAGCATCAGTGGAATTCAGTAACTGAATTACTAACACATTTCTTTACTATACAACCTTCCGGCAGGCCCAGACAGTTCTTTCCACCTTGTTTGTAGCTGTCCTTGAGGAATTTTTGACTTTTAAAAATATAATTGTCATAAACAGGCCTGAATAGGTGTCAAGGAAATGCAGCTGTCACAAATCATATACCATGGGTTCTTATCCTTTTCCCTAAACTCCTCCATACCTGTGTAAGACAAACAGCGGACTTTGAACAGGTTTGCTTTTGAAATCCCGGGCTATCAAAACAGCAATGTCTCTTAGCAGGTTCAAATTATTCTGAAAGAAAAGTGAAAAAGCAGCACCGCAGATGGTCAAGCCAGCATGAACACCGAGTTGTGTTCCCAGAATTGGAAGCAGTTTTGATAAAAACAGGCGCCTCAAATTCAGGTCAGGTCTACAGGAAGCAGACAATCTGCTTTCCTCAGCCAACCTCATACCTTCTGAAGCAGTTTCACAGAACTCTGCAATCTCTTCACGGCCTCTACATGCTCACCTGGTCCATTTCTGAAAGAAAAAGGAACATCTGGATCACCACTCTGAAGATTTATTAGTGGAGCAAAAGTGGATAGTATATAATAAACAACATCATGTAGAAGCACCTGAGACTTATGCTATATTTGTCAGAAGGAAAAATAAAGATGAAAGAACCAAAGTGAAAAGGGTATTACTTCAGCAGTGAGGTCAGGGTCTTCTCAGTACGGTGACTTTGTTGAACTGACTTCAACACTCTATTTCCTGCCAGGAAAACCAAGTTGGTTTTGTTCTTTTTCCCTTTCTCTGTGCAAAGAAGTTTAATAACCTTAAACAGAAAAATACCCTGGTTAGAAAAGGAGAATGGTATTTTGCTTTTATCCTTATAGGTGATCAGCTCTGCCCATTTTCCCTCCAGGACAATTTCAAGCAGACCCTGTATCTCCAGGATTTCTGCTGTCCTTGAGCTGTATGTGTGTGCAGAGGGCTTCTGGAGGTAATGTGGCTGCAGCCTCCTACCTGCAAGTCACTCAGGTTGGAGACATGAGTCCCACAGCACATGTTGGAGTCTATGCCTTCAATGTCTACAACTCGAACTGGCCCTGTGTGGTCACCTGGTAAGCCACGGCTTCTCACCTAGCAGAGCAGGAGAATGGCAGACAAACCAATATCCATGCTGCAACTGCTTTGGTCCCATGGGTATCGCCAGCTTCCTTCACTCCCATCACTCACTGTTTCAACCTCAGAGTCATCTGCAGCCAGCTCCCGCACTGTCACAGGTATCCTCTCCCGGATCTTCTCATTCACGCTCTGCTCCAGCGCCTCCATTTGCTCTGTGGTCATGGAGGGGGTGTCCAGCTCAATGACACTCTGCTGCCGGCCCAGCTCCCTGCACAGATGAAGAACATCTGCTGCTGTGAAGAGCAGATGGAAGATCCCTCTAGGCAGCACCAAGTGCCACCTGAGAGGAGCTGCTGGGTATGTGACTGAAACCAAACGCTTCTCTCCTCTCCCTGCTGTTTAAAGAGCATCAGATGCACATCACACCCATGCAACAGGACAAGACAAAGCAAACAGTTTACACAGCTTGTCTTATTTCAGCCCAGGCCATCTGTGCTTAGGTGAAATATCACAGCATATGCTGCTTTCCATTACCAACGTGCACCTCCTCCTGGCCTGGTGGCACACACACCAGGTGAGGCTAAGGCTAACGGCTGCTTTTCCAGCTCACCATGAAGTTGTTTTGAATCCAAACATCCGCTCTGCCATGGCAGTGATGAGGTGCTGTCCTGGAAGAGATGTGCAAGCAGTGGCTTTAAGCTCGGGATGCAGGAAAGTGTCCTTCACCAAACTGCAGCTATTCTGCCGACGTTCCCCGCGCTGTTTGGGCCCGGCCCAGGCGCTGGGAGGCTGCTGGCGGCAGGCGGGGGCGGCAGCTGTCACCGGGTGGTCCTCCGGAGACCCCGGGGCACCACGGTGCACTTCGAGCGTCTCCGGCGCACCGCGCGTCGCCCCCAGCCCCGCGAAGCCGCCTTACGAGCACGGTGGGGACAACCGGGGGGCCGGGGGGGAACCGGCGGCGAACCGGGAAGGGACGAAGCGCGCGATGCCCTCCTCACCCGCCCCAGCCCCGCACCCGAGTGCTGCTGCATGTGATCGAAGCGGCGCTCCCAGTCCAACGACAGCAGCACGGCGCTGCCCGGCTCCAGCGCCGTCTCCACGAAGTGCACGGCCTGGGCGCCGCGCCGGGTGACGCGCAGCACCGGGACGGCGCCGATGAGGCCGCGATCATCGGGCTGCGGAGACAGAGAGCCGCTGTCCGGGCCCGGCCGAGCCGCCCCGCTCCTCGCCCGGCCCCGGCCGTACCTGCCCGCCGCCCTCGGGGAAGAGGATCGTGTCCTCCAGCACCACCTCGAAGCCGCGCGTCGGTTCCCCGCCGCCCTCGGGCCGCAGCTCGGCCTCCCGGCACGACAGTACCCTGGTGGCGAACTGCAACGCAGAGGCGGCGGCACCGTGAGGGCCGGGCCGGGCCGGGCCGCGCAGCGCCGCCATCCCTGCCGCTACCTGCCGGGCCCAGCTGTCCCGCTGGCAATGGAACACCATGGCGGCGGCGGCCCAGGCTGCGGAGACTCGGCGAGCGACGGCGACCAGACAGCTGGGGAGGAACCTGCGGCGGGGCCCGCAGAGCGGCGGACCCGGCTCGCCGCGCGCTGCCGACGGGCGGAGCTCCGCCTCTCAAGGCGGCCCGCGCTGCCCTCCCGTCCCGCGGATCCCCGAGCTCGCGGCACGCCGGGCGCATGGCGGCAGCACTTCGCGTTTATTGCCCCGCGCGTAATCGGCTCCGGAGAGCCTGCAGCTCTCGCCGCCGTGCGTTGGGCTCCGCCGCGCTCTGCCGCAAACCGGCGTCGTTCCTCGGGGCTCCGCTTTCCTCGCCCGTGTCCCGGCTCGTTGCTGTGCGCTGCTTTGTGGAGCTGTGCTTCAGAGGTCGTCCTGCGGGGGGATGAGGAGTGTGGTGGGAGGAGGCCAGCGGCAACCCCGCGCTGCTGCCCGGGAGCCCCTGGGCGCAGCCCCACAGCACACTGCAACCCAGTGGCAGCAGCTGGAGCAAGAAGAGTGCCAGGGACTTCTGGAGTGCCTGGGGAATAGAGCTTCCAGGCTCTACTCACATCCAGGTCATCCATGGTCGGAGGGGGGGCTCTGTCCGTCACCTTCTGCAGCAGCTGGATAGGGAACAAAGGTGTGTGGGAACGACACGGCTGGCTGTCCCCCAACATGCCAAGCAACCTGTGCACACAAAACCAGGCTCACCTCTGCATACTCTTCCACCATGGCCCTTTCCACCTCCTCGTCCCCTTCCCAGTCTCGCCAGTTGTCAAAGTCAACGGAGAGCCAGGCTGGCTGTGGGCAGAGAGTATCCCCTGAGGAAGGAGGCAGCGGGGCCCTGACCTCACACAGAGCATGCATGGGCTACTCCTGCATAGGAAAACGTCCCTGTGGCAGCAGGGGCCAGTCTTGACCCTACCCACATCTAGGGATGGGAATGCCACATCTCCTCAAAGCACTTAAGTGGGCTGATAGGAACCAGGAGGCATTCCTGCGTCTGCCTACTGAGCGCTCTATTTTGGGGTGGATGTATCAGGCCCAGGGTGTCTGTCCTGGAGACACATGGAACCCAGGAAGCCACTGTACTGGGTACAGTCAGCCGCAGACAGTCTCCTTACTGTCCGATGCCATATGCACCTTGATGTTTTCCTTGGTGATGCGGGGCCAGGCCACTTTCTCCTTCCACTTCCTCATAAAGCACGTGATGGAGCGGTCAGAGCGCTTCTCTCGTGAGTCCTGCCAACAGGTGAGGATGTCTCCCCTCAGTGTCTGCTGTGTTCCTCTCTAATCCACAGCAGATACACAGAGGATCAAAACTCAGCCACACTTGGGCTGTGGTACACAGAACCATGGAGAAGAGTTGTTTGCGACCCAGCACTGTGCTGTGTGTGACAGACCCAGGGTCAGGTTTCCCAGGCTTGTGCTCACTCCACTTAGGTTCTCAGGAAATGAACAGAATTCAACTCTAAGCTGCACTGCTCAGGACAGCACAGGCTCTGTTCGATCCTGAGCATGATGCAGGCTGTCAGGGAATGGCTTGCTGGGGAGAAGTCTCACCTTGGAGTTCACTCTGGCATACAAGTTGATCTCATTGTAGAACTCTACTCCATCTGCGTTTTTGCAACTGCCAAAATACAGACACCTGGTTTAGGACAGAGCTGACCGTACGCTTCACTGGCTCACACAGGGCCCTCCTGCACCCAAGATCCCTATGGCTCCAGACCTATAGCCCACCTGAACACCAATCGGTGATCCTCGATGATGACCTGAACATCTGTGCTGTCCTCCACACAGAACTCCAGGAAAACATACCGTGGGCGGTCATACCACAACGTCTTTGCGTGTTGCCTGGCAAAACACGGGCTGTGGGTACTTCCACAGAACCTTCAGTGCAGCAACACCAGACTGCACATCAGGCACGAGCATAGATTTGGGCCAAAGCCTCGTTGGACCCCTCGCAGGCTGCGCTGTAGGCACCCCGGGGCCGGTTACGCAGTGGGTGGCAGCAAGCGGACTCAAGCGCACAGCACCCGCGGGCTGCAGCAGGCCGCGATCGGCCACCCCCCACCGTGTCCGTTACCAGCAGCGGCTGTCCTGGGGCCGTGTCCGGGGCCTGGTTTGGGTGCTGCCCCAGGCTTTGTGTGGGTGTTTGGGACCCGACCGGCCGCTGTTCCGGGACCCCGCCACGCGCTGTCCCGTGGAACGGGGCCGCTCACCTGGCCATGTCCGTGCCCTCCCCGCGCTACCTCGGACCGCTGGGAACGGGGCCGCTCGTTTTCCTCCCGCTCCCTCCGAGACTCAAGGGGGCGCTCTGGCAGCTCGCGGCGGGGGCCGCGCTTTGGTGCCGCGCCTTGGTGCCGCGCCTTGGTGCCGCGCCTTGGTGCCGCGCAAGCCCCGCCCCACCCGCGCCGCGGCGAGAAGATGGCGGAGGCTGCGCGGCGCAGGTGGCGGCCATAATGGAGCCGGAAGGTGGCCCGCTGGGCCCGGGGGAACGCTGGGCGCCGGTGGGCGCTGTGACGGTGGAGCAGGAGGAAGAGGAAGAAGAAGAAGAAGAGACGGCGGCGGGGTCGCCGCGATCGGTGCCGCGGTTGCGGGCTGAGCGGCGCCGCCTGCACGGGGCGCTGCTGGCGCTGGCCTCGCACTTCGCGCAGGTGCAGTTCCGGCTGCGGCAGGTGGCCAGGGCCGGCCCGGCCGAACAGCAGCGGCTGCTCCGCGACCTCGAGGACTTCGCCTTCCGTGGCTGCCCCGCGCCGCTGGCCCACGGGCTCGGGGATGGCCCAGTGAGTGCGCGGGGCGCGGTGGGGCTGGGCGCCCTGATGGGGCGGATGGCGTCTCGTGTGCCGGGCTCTCGTAAGAGGACTGTCGGAAAGCTGCGGGGGGACGGTGCCAGGACGGAGGGTAGTGGCCTTAAGATTGTGGCCTAGCACAGGCTGCTCAAGGAATCCAGGGATGCCCCATCCTTGGAGTTGTTTGAGGCCAGGTTGAATGGAGCTTTTGGGCAACCTGCAGTGTCAGATGTCCCTCCTGTGGCAGGGAGTGGAGGTGTATGGTCTTCCAGCCTTGATAGCTCTGTGATTCTCTGACTTATTTAAAATCCAATTAGCAACAGCTGTGCCCCTTCCCTCCTGCTGTGACAGACATCTGAGATAAAGAGTGGTTGTTACAGCTGCCCAGCACTGCTCTAACCAGCGGTGTTGTACCATGCTAGATGTGCATGTGATGGAGCTTGTCTGCAGAGGTTCTTGTTTGTCATGTGAGTTGATATGACCGACACCTTCTCCTTGATGTGCAGGCACACCTTTTTTTTTAAATGACTTGTAATGTTCACTAATTAATTGCATGGACTGGAAACATTCCTCATATCATAGTCCTGTACTGTGGGGCTGGCCTGCTATGGTGAATGTTTAATTTTATTTACTGGAAACTTTTTCTTCAGAGTGAGCAAGAGAAGCAGGAGCAAACTGAGGTCCAGAAGGAAAAGCAAAGAGAGCTGATCTTGCAGCTTAAGACACAGCTGGATGACCTAGAGACGTTTGCATACCAGGAGGGCAGCTATGACTCTCTTCCACAGTCTGTGGTTATGGAAAGGCAACGGGTAAGGCTCCCGAGGTTCTGTATTGCTCACAGTCATTAGTAATACAGTATCAATAGTTAGTGTGCAATCTTGTCATCTATTGTGATTTTCATCATGTGATAAAGAAGCCTATTTCCACGGTAGTGAGTGGAGTATTTTGGAGGTTGTGGACACTGGTGCCACACAGTGAAGTGATACAACTGACTGATGTTTTGCAGATGATTATAGATGAATTGATTAAGAAGCTGGACATGAACTTGAGTGAAGATATTGCAACTCTCTCTCCAGAAGAATTGCGGCAGCGTGTGGATACTGCCATTGCACAGATTGTTAATCCAGCTCGGGTGAAGGAACAATTGGTGGAACAACTAAAGACACAAATAAGGGACCTTGAAATGTTTATCAACTTCATTCAAGGTCAGTGCTCAGTTTTTAGACAAGTAGATTGAATTGATGTGCAATTCTGACATAGTTATGGGGAGGGAGTCTGCAGATGTCAAAGGATATTCAGAGCTGGTGGTGGATAGAAACAGACTGCCAAGCAAGGAGCAGAGTGGTTTAAGGGAGTACAGACCTTTATTTGTGAGATACACAGTTTAAATTCACAAGTGTGAAATTCTTGTTGTAGATGAAGTTGGAGGTTCTGGTAAGGCGGAAGATGGACATTGTGAGTGTGCAGGCAGAAAAGATGGTAGTGGTTCCTGCAAACCAAATATCTGGTCTTCTGGAAACAAAGGTAGGCACTGCTTGACATGAAGGTTTGTCTCTTTTTTTGCTGTCACTCATTTGATCATGGAGCATGCACCAGCATCCAGGTACATTAGCATGTCTTTAAAGTGTTTTTTTTATTTCTATTATTTATAAATTCTATCAACAGAAGGTCTGCGTACAATTCTTTTGCCCTTCTTAAAAGCAGATATGTTGCTTCCTTAATGAGAAAGCTTGTGCTTTTTTACTTTCTTTTCTAACCTGAGCAGTGAACCCAGAAGATGCCAAAAAGATGCGAGAAACGGGCCTGCACCTCATGCGTCGCATGCTTGCTGTGCTACAGATATTTGCTGTTAGTCAGTTTGGTTGTGCTACTGGTCAAATTCCTCGCAGCCTCTGGCAGAAGGACCAGGCCAACAAGGACTATTCTCCCTTAATTAAGAAACTGGAACTGTCGGTAGACCGGGTGAGGCAGCTAGCTTTGAAACACCAGCAGGGCGACCATGTTATCAGTTCTTCCGATCTGCAGGATGTTTCATTAGGAGGGAGAGATGAACTGACTCTTGCTGTGCGGAAGGAGCTGACCATTGCTTTGCGAGACCTGATGGCTCATGGGCTCTGTGCCTCTTCTCAAGGGATGAGCCTGGTGTTGGCACCCATTGCATGCTTGATTCCTGCATTCACTTCCTCACCACAGACCATGCACCCTTGGGAACTCTTTGTGGAGTATTACAAAACTAAAAATGGACAGGCCTTTGTAGAGTCTCCTGCTCGCAAGCTCTCCCAGTCCTTTGCCTTGCCTGTGACAGGAGGAGTCACCATCACACCCAAACAGAGCCTGCTGACAGCAATTCATACAGTTCTCACTGAGCATAACCCCTTCAAGCGCAGTGCAGACTCTGAACTGAAAGCTCTAGTGTGTATGGCGCTAAACGAGCAGCGCTTGGTCTCCTGGGTAAACCTGATCTGCAAATCTGGAGCTTTGGTGCAGTCTCACTACCACCCGTGGAGCTACATGGTAAACACAGGCTTTGAGAGTGCACTTAATATTCTCAGTCGTCTGAGCAACTTGAAGTTCAACCTCCCAGTTGACTTGGCTGTCCGGCAGCTGAAGAACATCAAAGATGCTTTTTGATGTTTTTTTTATTGTAAATCATCCACTTTTCGCAAGTGAGCAGCTGTTGGTCTCCAGAAGCCTACCCTTTTTTTTTTTCTTTAAGACCAAATTTGGCTCTTTAAAATCAATACTTGCTTTTAGGAAAATCTTGATGCTGGTGGCTGGGTGTGGTACAGCACTTTATCCTGCCCTTATGCAGTTCTGAGTGGCAAAACTGGTGAGCAGATTTATGCCGTGCCAGGTGCTGGCTGGGTGCAGGAGGGTCCTGACCATGGAGCCTGTCCATGGGAGTGCAGTGCATCTGAGCTGTTGTGCTCCATCTGCACACTTATTTCAAAGTCTGTGGTCTAAATGATGCCAGTATGAGACGCCTCTCAGGAGAAGTGAGGCAGTCTGATGTCCGCTTGGGAGTGGGAGTTTGGTTGCTTCTGTTTGATGTGGCTGCACAGGGGTGAGGGATTTGTTTTTCCCGGTGTGAATTTAGGAGAACTGGGGGCAAATCCTGCTGAGGAACTGGGTATGCACTGAACCGGCAATATTCAGGCTGCTGGATGAGGGAGCTGACATTCAAATTACTTTGCAAACATCCCAGAAGGTCCTTTTCTGAAACTTCTGTGCAGAGGTCAGCACCGGCGGTGCGGTATTCCACAGTGGATGTATTAAACTGCTTTAATTAGTGTCTGTGTGGGGAAAATCCATTTCCAGTGACTGCATTTAATTTGCGTTGGTTATTAGCCCTTGTGATGCAGATGTGGTGGCTCGCTTGGCTTTGTAATATTTATAATATCATTGTAACGTATCTGCAGTCCCTGATGGCGTTAGGATTTTTGTGACTGCTGTAACGGCAGCACCGCTGCTGGGCGCGGACTGCACTGCTGCAAGGGATCCTGAAATGAAATTGCGAGAAGAGCGCTGCCTTACAATGCAGCGTTAGTCGACACTGCACTGACGGCCCGGCCGGCACCGGGCAGAACCGTCTGGAGGCACCGAAGGCGTTGCGCCGGGCCGCTGCCGGGGACGATGCGGGGGTGAGCGGCCGCGGGACGGCCGGCTGCCGCCCGGCAACTGCGGGATCGCTGTGCGCGTGCGCTGCTCGCGCGTGCCGATAAGGCGGAAGTAACGTCAGGGCGCGGGTGAAAGGTCGGCGGAGTGGGAGGGGTTTCCTTTTCCGCCGCGGCGCCATCGGAGCGGCTGTGCTGGTGAGTTGGGGCGGCTGTGGGATCTGCCGCCATCCGCGGGCACGGCTGGGCTGGGAACGGCCGGAGCCCGCTGTTGACCGCCGCGTGCCGTGTCTGCAGAGATGGGCAAGTTTATGAAGCCAGGGAAGGTGGTGCTGGTGCTCGCCGGCCGCTACTCGGGGCGTAAGGCTGTCATCGTGAAGGTGAGTGTGGGGCTGGGGGGTTCCTTGCAGGGCTGCCCTCGCTGTTGGCCCTGGCCGCTCCTGGAGAACGGCCGGGAGCGCGCAGCGCAGCCGGCGGCGGTGTGTTTGGAGATGCCCGCGCGGGCCGTGTTTGTGCTCGGTTTCCCCGCTGGACGCAGCCCAGCTCGGGGCGGTTGTGACGACGGGTTGGCTCAGCGCGGGTGCGGGATGTGTTTCAGAACATCGACGATGGCACATCCGACCGGCCCTACAGCCACGCCTTGGTGGCAGGCATCGACCGCTACCCGCGGAAGGTGACAGCGGCAATGGGCAAGAAGAAGATAGCAAAGAGGTCTAAGATCAAGTCTTTCGTGAAAGTTTACAACTACAACCACCTGATGCCCACCCGGTGAGTGTAGTTATTTCAGCAGGACTAAAGTCTGATGGTAGGAGGGCCAAAAGAAACACGTGCGCTTTCAGTGTTTGTAATTCTTGCACATTCTCTTCGTTAAGTGCTGCAAATCGTAGAGGTTCTCCATTGTGTGGCTGAGTGTATGCAGGGTGCATGCATGTGTGAAAATAGGGTTTGTAAAGCTGATGTGAAATATCAGCATACTGCTTAGATGATGCAGCTGGATTTTAATTTCAGTCATGTTCAGTTTCATTTCAATTAATTGTGGAATGTTAATGGCTGAACCTTTGAAACTATCATGATAATTTGGTGCTCGTGGCAGCTGTTGCCACCCAGCAATGTTTTTCTTTTCCAGTTGTAAGTGCTGCTTTTACAGGCTGCCAAATACAAAATGCTGTACAGAGTTGCTTGTCTGTTGTCACAAGTGAACCTTTTTCCTTAATTTACTGAATTAAATTACTTTGGTGATTTCTGGAATTAAATGACTTAAGTACTATAGTTCTTTAGCCTGGTACCAATACGTACATATGACCTTATGCCAGATACAGTGACCGTCTCACACCTTTCTGCTCTCTTGCCCAGGTATTCTGTTGACATTCCCCTGGACAAAACTGTTGTCAATAAGGATGTGTTCAGGGACCCTGCTCTGAAACGCAAAGCAAGACGTGAAGCTAAGGTGAAGTTTGAGGAGAGGTGAGTTGGAAGCTCATAATCTTGATGGTGTCTCACTTTCTGGAGGATTCAGTGTAATAATGAGTCCTAGGTTGGACTGCCTGAAATTGCTTAAGTATGTTTTTGGAATGATTACTACTTTCTTGCTGTGCTTTTTCCCACAGCCACATAGGCCTGGTAGGTTGAGTTTGTCCATGTTCACATTTACAAATTCCAGTAGACTCATGTTGACAATTACTTTGCTGCTGCCTCATACAGAAACAAGTGAAGTGTTCCGGTGATGTGATGATAACTTGGTGTCTTACCACCTTTTGTCCATCAGATTCATGTTACTGAGCTTAGTATGACAGGGCAGTGCTCACCTTGCCCAGAAACTTTCCTTGTTGACCACCTTTATTTCAGTGCTTACTTCGGAAGCACCTTCCATGGAAGGGGCTGTGCAGCAGCAGCAGGAAGCAGGGACATCCTGCTGACAGCTCAGACAGCTGGGTGTTTTAAAGCATGTATATAATGCATAACCTCTGCATGTAAATGTTGGCAGTTCTTCTCTATGTGCAACCAATGGGTGCACTCTGCATCATCTGAAGCTGTCCTGTGTGTGGAAACTGTTGCAGTGTGGGTCTCTCCCTCGTGATATGACTTTGAGGAAAATCTGCAAGCTGGTAGTCACTTCCATGGGGACTTGGAACTTTTAAAGAAAGTTTAGTTGGCAAGTTGTGGGGAAGCAATCAGGTGCATTACCTGTGGGTAAACAGAGTGCTGCTTTTTGTCTGTTCAGGTGGATATGGAGGGATTGGGTGAATGTTTTATGCTGTTGCCTGTTCATACAAAGTACACTCTAAAATTGGTGTTCCTCTTCTTTCAGATACAAGACTGGCAAGAATAAGTGGTTCTTCCAGAAGCTGCGATTCTAAATTTGAAATAGGACTGTTTCAATAAACGTTTATTAAAAACCATCTTGCTTTGTTATGTAAAATTGTGTTGGCAGCCCTTTCAGGGGGGTGTACATTTGCTTTGGATGTTCATAAAAGAGTTGGAAAAGCAATTGTAAACTAGAAAAGCTTCTGAAAAATCTGGAATGATGTGGGACCCTGAGGTGTGGGTGAACGATGTGCTGTGTCCACATCACTGCTGGGTGCCTCACTGCCTAAGGGTGTGCTTTCAACTGACTGCTGCTGAAGTCATTTGTTGTATTTCAGCCCATATATTGGAGATGTCTTGGGGTAAATCCCCGATGGTGAATGCAGTTGGGAGAGAGAATTCCAGATAAGCTGGCTGAGAATTGCAGCGACTGAGTCTCTGCCAGGATGCTGCTATGTTTTTGATTATCGTTTTACATTACTTGCTGGCTAAGCAGCACCGTAACCGCGTCTTCTCTGGGAACCGGGCTAAAAGCTTGGTTATTCAGCTCTGCCCCGCCTGGGGGAGGCCCAGGCTGGGCCTGCGCGGGACGGAGCTCCGTCCTCCAAGCGGCGGGGCGGGGCGGGGCCGGGCTGCGGAAGGAAAAGCGAAAGCGTCGGGCGCGGAGGAGCTGCGGCCGGGTTGGTGCTCCTGGGCTGCCGCTGGGTCCGGCCGCGCTGCCGCTCTTCGCTGTCGGAGCCGCCGCCATGGACTCGGAGGAGGTGACGGGGCTCCGGGGTGGGAGGGGAAAGGCGACGAGGGGCCGAAGCTCGGAGGCTTCGGTTCTGACCTTGCGCTCTGTAGGACTCCTTCATGCGGCAAGCCAGCACCCAGCACCAGGAGGACTGCAACCTGAAGATGAGCCCCGAGCGAGCCCGGCAGGAGATCGAGCAGTACAAGGTGTGTCCTGCTCCGGCCGCGTCCCCGAGAGATGAGTCGGGTCAGATCCCGATCCTCTGAGGCCTCTATCGTAGCCGGCACAGAAGCCCCACAGCTTCCCGGGCTGCAGCTGCCACTCTTCTGAGTCTGCAGCCATCGTGCTCGCAGCTTTTTGGTAGCAGTTTTTCACGTGCTAACCTGTCTTCTTGCAAGCTCTCTGCACTGGGATGCCAGCTGATTTCTTGAGTTTTGTATTTTTCTCTCGTACATGTGGCACCAAACTGCTGAGTGCAAGCCAGAAACAGTGGAGAGGGGATACTCACAGTCATGAAGTACCAGGACTGGGCTCCTGGGCTATGCATAGGGAGCAGCCTGCTGTCCGCCCACACAAGCATGTACTGGGGTTGGACATGCAGTGGGGATGCTGCATTGTTTACAGAAACACTAATTGTTCCTCTCACAGGATCTTTGTAGCGCTCTGGATCAAGACAACATGATGCTGCAAAAGGACAAGGAAGCTGTAGAGCAAAGGTTACAACATGTGAAGAAAGAGAGAGAACTTCTTCAGAAAAATCTCAAGCAAAAGCCTCCAAATGATGATAAGGTATCCCTCCAGGTGCGTCTTGAAGGAGTTGTCTTAGGCAAGGTGGCAGTGGAAAGCTGGCTGCACTGCTCAGCTCACTGCTTTGAGATAACTTTGCTGGGATGCAACAGTGGTTACATGAAACAGTACAGAGGGCCTCTGTTGGGAAGTGAGATTGTGCTGTGGAGGAGGGCTGCAGTGGAAAGCCAGGGTACAGAATGGTGAGCAGAAAAATGGTGCAGGTTAGAGTTGCTTAGATCAGAGAGCAGCAGTAATCCCAAACTTTGTCTTGATTCCCCTACTGCTCACTATCTCTTTTCTTCCAGGTGGATATCTCTGTAGCACGGGATGAGAAGAGCAGATTGACACAGGAGAAGCAGATGTTGGAAAACAAATTGGAAGAAATGAGGAAGAGGATCCTCAGGGAGGACCCGATGATGGTAACAGAGCATGTGTAGGCACTTATAGCCACAGGTGAGGGGTGTGAGCCAGGCTGGAGAGGCTGCTGGTGAATGCAGCTGGGCACTGTGTGTTATTAGGCCCAGCTCTCGTCAGCCTGGAGCTCCTTTGCCAGGGCCAGAAGCAGTGGCTTTGGGACTCTCGGCACTGCTGGACCATAGGAGAGACTCTGCTAAGTCTAGCCAGCTGTTTGGTTTGAAGCATGAGCTTATTTCTCATCTGGGTTGGAAAGGACAGGCCTTGTGCAGTGTGCAGTCTCTTCCAGCTGCTGTGTTCTCTAACCTAGATGCTGCATGCCTTACCAGAGAGGAAGGTAGTGTTTAAGGGACTTACAAGAGATAAGGAGGACATGAACAAGCTGGTGCTCACCCCTCTGATCCGCTATCCTCTGTCAGGGGGCTCAGCTCTCATCACCTTTGAGAAGGCAGAGGGTAAGACTGAAAAGAGCACTGCTATGGGAAAGCATCCGTGTCATTTGGGCTTGCCAAGCATCACTGGCAGCAGTGCTGCAGCCACAGCACTCACAAGCACTGCCTGTCCTGGCCAAGCCGTCATTGTGCAAGGCTGTTCCCCTTTTCCAAAGCTTTCATTCTCCCATGCCCTTCCTACTGATTGCCTGGGCTGAGGGCTTTTCCTTTTGCAGTGGCCCAGCGGGTGATAGAGATGAAAGAGCATGTGGTGGAGCTGAGCCATGGGGAGGACCCAGAAGACCTTGACCGGTGCCAAGTGCGAGTGCAGGCAGGTCCAGTGGACATACTGCTGCCATCTGCCCTGGAGGTATGTTCCAAGGTCTCAGGGCCATGTCCTTCTCCACTACTGCCTGGACTGTGTCACTGGTAGCAGCTCAGCCCAGCACACAGGTACTGCAGATCTGATCTCTTCAGGCTCTGCCCTGCTGCAGCACTAAGTGGCCTCTGCCATCCCCAGATTGGGCTCACTCGAGGCAGCAGGAGTATCCTGGTATCTGGCCTGCCCAGCCTGGGCATCCCTGAGGACATCCTACTGGACAAGCTGGAGCTCTTCTTCAGCAAGACGAAGAATGGAGGCAGTGAGGTGGAGAGCAGGGAGTTCCTGGATGACTGTGGCCAGGTGGTGCTGACCTTCACGCAGGATGGAGGTATGTGGGACACACTGAGCACAGGGCTGTTGGAGAAGGAAAGCAGTCCAGCCAGTTCCGGGAAGCACTGATTGTCTCCCAAGAGCAGGTGGAGCTGTGAGGAATGGGGATGGGAGACTGTGCTGGAGCTGAGTTGGTGATCATGCCAGAAACATAACCAGGAGTTCAGCAGGGGTCTGTGGAGCTCAGGGTTTTCTTCTCCATCTCCAGTGGCCGAGCAGCTACTCACTAGAGGGCAGGTCCAGGTGCCTATTGGGAAAACAAAATACAAACTCAAAATATCACCCTATATGAGAGGAGATGTCACCAACCTGCAGGTAAGTTTATGCGCTCTGGTGCAGAGTAGCACCCACCAATCCCAGGAGAGCCAGCACGGGCCAGGGGCTCCTGAAAGCCTGAGGGGTGTGTTTCTGGTCCCCTCTGCTGCTGGGGGACCCTGTGTCCATGCTGGCCATGCAGTGTGGGGTCTGCAGCTCTCTCCTTCCTATGCCCAGCTGCAGCCCTCCCGCTGCACCAGGACCGTTCTACTCTCGGGGATCCCAGATGTGCTGGCTGAGGAGCCCATGAGGGATGCGCTGGAGATCCATTTCCAGAAGGACAGCCGTGGTGGTGGAGAGGTGGATGTCCTCGGCTATGTCCCAGCTGGGCGCCGGGCAGTAGCTGTGTTCAGAGAGGATGTGGGCTAGCCCTGACCAGCCCTGTAAACCTGGCTCATCAGGAATTCAGTGTGTGAATTAAAGAGGCCTGCACGGAGCTCTGCGTCTGTCGTGCTGGGGACAGCCTGGGACAGGGCTGGGACCGCGAATGGAGGGAGAGCCACGGGGAAAGCCGCGTCTCAGCCCGGGCAAGGGGATAGAAGAATCACAAGGCCGGCCCGGGCCGTTCCGCTGCACCGAGCAGGCCCAGGGGGCGGTGCCGGCCGGGCGGGGAGGGCCGCCTGGTTTCGCTTTCGTTTCCCGGCGTAGCGGCGGGGCCTCGGGGCCGCAGGTAGCGAGGCGGGGTCGCGGCACTGCGCGGCGCTGGGGCCGGGGGCGGGCAGAACCGAGTCTTAGAAGCAGCGGGAAAACGGGCCCGGTGTGGAGCGGCCCGGCCCGCTGAGAGCGGTGAGGTCCGAGCAGGCCCGCGCCCGCGGGTAGGCCGCTGTAGGGCCTTGTCCCCTCGGCCCGTTTGCCGCCCCGTCCCCGCAGGCATGGCCGGCTGCACGGTGCAGGTGTGGGGCATCCCCAGCGACCTGCCCCCCGACAGGGTGGCCGACAAGCTGACCATCCACTTCCTGCGTTCCCGCAACGGTGGCGGGGAGATCAGCGACGTGCAGGTGCTGCCGGGGTCCCCGGCCTACGCCCTCATCACCTTTGAGGCACTGGCAGGTAATGACTGGGCCCTGGGGCGCTGCCCAGTGTCACCCCGTTATCCCCTGCCCCGATCACACGGGAGTGCCGCTTCTCGGCCTGCCGGGGTCATGCTGGTGCCTGTTGTTTTTCCCCACACAGTGGCCCAGCGTATCCTGAAGGTGAAGAACCACGTGCTGTGCATCGGAGGGAAGAGGTACCCCCTGGAGGTGAAGGCGCATGTAGTGAAGCTGAGCCCTGATGAGGTAGAGCGGGGCAGAACTGCCCACACAGGCGATGCACATCACCGCGACAACCTCAGCTGGCTCCCAGACAGGCTTTGTTCTTGGCTGACATGGTCAGGAAGGAGAGTTTGCTCCTCCTTTTAATTTTAATTAGATTTCATTTTTATTCATATTCAAATGAGGATACATATATTTTTTCACACTAATAATACAGCAACAGCGAAGCAGACTTTGCAGTCAGTCATTTGGTATTTATGCCTGTCAAAGCAAGGAAGAATAATCAGTCTCAAGGGAGGGATGCTTGTCCCCTCTCCATCTGGTGGCACAGAGGCCATTCTTCTAATGCCTTGGCTCTCCAATTAGGTGGATGCTATGTCATTAGCTGGACATGCACAGTGTATTTTTGCTTTCTCCCTTCCAGGAGAGCTTAGGAGATAGACGTGCTGGTGTCTAGGAGGCACTGAAGATTTCATATATCTTCTTCCATGTGTCTTATCTTCACATCTGAGCACTGAAAATGAGGGCATGGCAGTTGACTGGGCACTAGAGACCTTGCCACAAATCTTTGTGGCCAGAAGGAGCACTGAGAGAACAAGAGGGTAACTGCATTTCAACTGCAGAAAGGAGAGTGGGTTTGGGCTGTTTGCAGAGCTCCCAGCTTGTAGAAGTGGGTCTGTACCTGTGCGGTTTGCCCTTTGCGTTCCTTGTTTGCACAAAGCCTTTGACTATGAATATAAGGTCAAAAAGTCACTTAGGCTGGCAGGATCTTTCAGTCCTGCCTCTGTTATTCTCCCACTGAGCATCATGAAAGCAGTTTACTTTTCTGTCACAATATCACAGGGGGCTGTGGTAAGAGTCACATGTATTCACTTCCACCCTGTGCCTTGGAGGGGCCTTATTTTTGGTCCGTGCTTTCTCACTCCTTTGGTCTCTACCTGCAGATCTTTGTACGTGTTTTCATGGTGGTTGACTATGGTAAGTTTCCTGCTGGTGAAACACTCTTAAAGAACTTGAAGAAAGGCTACAGCAGCATGCAGTTCGACTTTGACTACAGGAGCACGCTTTGCAGAGTCAAGGGAACATTCACTGAGCTGCAGGCCTTCAGCAGAGACCTGCTGGCCTGCCTGAACATCAAAAGCCAACCCACTGGAGAGAGGCTTTCTTCAGGATCCAGCCATTCGGCCAGAAACACCAGAATGTATGATTACCAGCAAGAGCCTGACTCTGCTGCGTCAGCATCAAAGGCAGTAAAGCTGCCACACTGGGACCAGGTGTGTGATAAGGCAGCTGATGGCCCATCACCTCGAAGCCCAGTGGATGGGGAAGCTCTGGAACAGCTGGAGGACTTTTCCCTGGTCATGGACTCAGACATTTACTTGTACATACAAAGGTTCTGTGCTTCTGAGTACCAAGGTATACTTTGCCAGCATCATGTAGATGCGGTGGATGTTAGCAGCAATGACATAACCATACTGTACCTCCAACCATCTCCAGGTACATCTGGGGACATGGACACTTTGCAACAGTCCCGCCTGGCACTACAGCACCTCTACCAGCAGCTGGAAGTGAACTTGCGCAAAGAGAAGCTCTCCAAGGGAGGACTGAACAACCAGGAGCTCAGGGCTCTGACACAGGAGCTGCAGGAGCTGTATCCCCAGTTGCTCTGCCATGAAGATGGGAAACAGCTTGACCTTATTGGAAACCTTGTTGATGTCTCCCAGGCCAAGCAGTATGTTCAACATTTCAGCACCAGAAGTGGTGCCCCACAGATGGCTGGCATGTTCAGTAGCTCCCCACCCTCACAGCCAGCAACGTCCTACACTACAGAGACTACATTGGACAAGCCCAAAGTTTCTGTGGACACCCTGCCTCTAAAGCTAAGCCCAGGCAAGCCAGAGCTGAAAGCAGAGCACAAGTTGGCAGCCAACTTCAGTGCTCCAAAAATTAGCAGGTCTCAGTGCCTTTTGGAAAATCAGGACTCTCCTGTGATGGAGCAGGCACAGCTTTCTGGAAAGCATTTCTCAGAGACACATGCTCTGGGTCCCAGTGACCCAACAACACTGGCACAGCCATGCCAGCCTCATATCTCTACAGTGGATGTGATTTCAAAGTCAGCAGCAGAGTCTCAGCAGGACCCCAAAGAATGGGGACATGTGAAAGGAGGGGGTAGGCTTACAAGACAGAAGAGTCTGCCTCCTTTTGGAAGCAAAGAAAATGGCACTTTAAAGCATCCTGGGGACTTGACAGGCTCAGATCCCAGCAAACACCATTCCCTTGCTGGCACGTCTAGTATCTTTCAATCTCTAAGTCTCTTTGACACAACAAGGACCTCTTTAGACTCCAAACCCTCTGAATCCAGGTCTATGCTGCGACGCTCCAGTAGCTTTTCCCTGCCAAAGTCAAAGGAAAGCAACAAGCCCCAAGGCACTGGCAGGGCAGCCAGTGGAGACAATACGGTGAGTGAAGAAATGAGCCTGGACTCTCTGCAGTGGTCTTATCTGAAGTGTGCCTGTCGCTCTGCTATTGATGAATTGTGCAGGGGCAGAATTGTGGACATCTCAGAGCATTCCACTGGGGACTGCACTGTGCTCACATTGCAGGCAGCAGACAGGAGCAAGCTTCTCCAAGCTAAATGGAAGGTGGAAAATCTTGTGCAGAAGTGTCCTGACCTTGTGTGTCAGAGTATGAGCTACTCAGAGCTTGCTGTAGATGGGCCAGATGATGACGCTCTGTGCGAACTGTGCAGCCTCTTGCAAGGAGGTTCCCTCCAGGTTGGGCTCAGCAAAGACAAGTATAAGCTCTATCTTGCCTGCCCCAGAGACATGCTGCCAGGAGTGACTGAGGCCTTCCATCTGTTCTCTTCCAGGAGGCTCCATGCCCTGAAGTCTTCATCCTTGTCTCCAGGACCAGAGAGGACTGTAAGTGCAGGGCACCCAAGTGCTGTCCAGCCAAGCAGAAGCCAGGACACCATGCTGGATGCAGCCCTTCCTAACAGCCTGGAGTCTCTGCAGATGGACCTGCAGCACCTGGACATTAGCAATAAAACAGCGCACCCAGAGGTTCTAAATGCTTTCCAGCAGCTAGAGACTGATGAAAACAGATCCCCCAGTCTTTGGAGATTCCCACAAGCACAGGAGGAGGCCAATGACCACATCGATCCTGGGGCTGTGCAGGGAAGAAGCAGCTTTCTCAGCCCTAACATAATGGAAAACTTCAATCCTGCTGCTCTGAGGGAGACAAAGGAACAGCTGAAGACCAAAGTGTTGCTTGGGGAACTTGACATTGCACGGCTAAAGCAGGTTTTGCCAGACAAGTTCCAGTTTGTGAAAGACAAGAGCAGAGTAGGCCATCATGATGCCATGGGACAGCTGCAATCACCAGTCCTCACAGCTGATGATACTCCTCACTCCGTGCCCACCTGCCTGTGCAAGAGTACAGCTCCTGATTCACCCCACGCTGCAGCTGAACAGTCACCTGCAGCTGAGCTCAAGTCCCAGGAAAGTAACAGTTCAGGCAGGAGCAGCATTCAGGAGTCGTCCAACCTCCCAGCACTGCAAACAAAAGACACCAGCCTTGAACAGGAAAGCTGCAAGACTCCTCTGAGCCAATGTGATGCTTGCCAGGACTTATGCGTCACATGCCAGACCCACTATGGTCATGCCTTGTGCAGGTCATGTTTTGCAAATCAGCCAGCTTGCTGCAGTTCCTCCTTGGTTGCCCCAGGCTGCAAGATCTCAGGAACTTTCAAGATATCCTCTTTGTCACAGAGCTTGCCTGGCTACTTCCGAGACCTGACACTCCAAATTACCTACACCATCCCCAATGGCATTCAAGGGGTAGGTATCCCACCAAAAGGAACTGCCTATCCTGCTGGAAGCTGGGCAGTGAGTTCTGTGAGTGTGACTGGGGCTATGGGAGGACAAGTGAAAGAGGGCAGATACAGCTCCATGCCCCATATGCAACGCAGCAGAGGTTTGCCCCGTGGAATAGCACTCCACACAAGGTTTAGGAGCTGCTTGCTGCTTTTGAAGAGTGTGTGAGCTCCACTGTTAGTTCAAAGCATCTAGCAGCTCATGGGCACCACAGCGGTCTGTTTTCAAGCTGGACAGCATCTCAGAAGCCAGAATTAAGATTATGCACTCAGGTGATTGTTTAATATGCTTTCTTCTTTTTAAGGTTGGTCATCCTCATCCAGGAGAGCCTTACAAAGGGGGATATTTCTTAGCGTTCCTGCCTGACAACAGGGAAGGGCAGAAGACAGCAATTCTGCTGAAGAAAGCATTTGAGCAAGGGCTGACATTTCAAGTCAAGTCCTACAACGGAGAAGAAAGAGTGACATGGGGCCCTATCCCACACAAAACCTCCTGGCATGGAGGCAAAGCCAGGTATGATTCAGTTAGTACCACACCTTCAGGTTTTTCATCGCAATTGTAGACAGAGAAACACTGGTCTCACCACAACAGACCTTGGAATGGGTGCTACTGCAGACTGCCATAGCGACGTAGTTGGTGCCCTTTGCTTCCTTTCACAGGGCAACTACAATGTGGCAGACCAGCCATGACACATTTCACAGTGGGATAAATTACTCATCCACACCTTTAACTTCTCTCCTTGGCCAAGTATTCTGATCCCTCTTCACTTAGAACTTTCCTGGCTTTTCCCATGCCAGCTCTGCAGTCAGCTCTGAGTGCAAGCTGTGAGTTTAGGCAGCAGCAGCTGACAGCTCCTTGCAGCTCCCAGGAAGCTTCCTGGGACTTCCACCCTCACCCTCTGCTGAAGGGTTAGGACAAAAATATGCTGCTGCCCCTTCAATGGCTTTTAGCACTATCAACAGGATTTACATTGTTTCCCTCTCTGCCCTACAGGAACGGCTATCCAGATGCCCAGTATCTCCATGAGGTTTGTACTGTCCTGAAGAAATTGGGCATTGACTGAGACTCTGCGCCTGAGCATTCACATCCTGTGCCTTCACTTCACCTTCCTTTCCTGTTGACAAAACTACAGCTCAGCACAGCTCAGGAAAACAGCAGATGCCTGCCCAAGGAGTGAATTGTGTCCTGAGACAGCCAGAAGTCTACACGTTAGCAACAGCAGCCCTTCTATCTCGCAGCTTGGAGCTGAGCGACCCCAAGCCTCTAGCTCTTACTAGTTGTTCATCTTCTCACCAGCCAGTTAAGTAAAAGCTTGTTTCACCACCAGATTCAGGCTGAGCCCTGGCATGATTTTCAACAAAGTGCCATTTAACCAAGCTGGTGTAGGAGCTTGCTTGTAGCTCAACCCCAGACTTCTGGAAGTCTGTTCCCTTTGGCTGCTACAGGCAGGCTCCATCTCAGCCACCTCCAGAGCCTGTGCCAGAGCTGAGCTATCATTAATTTCAGATGTTTATGTTGACATTTCAGTCCTCGAGCTGACAGCCATGAACTACAGCCCCTCCCCAACACCTGCTCTGGGGACAGGTTTATGCGTGGTTGGAGACAGCAGCAATGAGTTTCAGCTCTGAACAGCTGCCTCCTGAGAATATCAGGCATAGATAGGCTGCAGGTGCAGAAACACAAATAAACAAGATTTATCTCCACATTCTTTGTAGCGGTTGCTCACACTCTGTCTGTCATTCTGGGACCCATTTCAATCTCAGCTGTCTACAGGGACACCCCAACACAAACTAAAGTGCAGAGACCAGCTAAGTGCTTTGCAAACAAAAATAATCACTGTAACTGCCCTCCAAAATAGAGTACTGTAAGAGTGATGCAATGCTTGAGCAGAGATTAACAGTTCTCCTTGAGAGCAGAGGCAGCTTTTCAGCCTTGGAGAGTTGTTGGGATTTGTAAACTGAGTACATCCAACCCCTGACTGCCTTTTGAAGCAATACAAGGGCCCCAGAGACTGGCAGAATATTGAGCAGCACACCACTGAGGGTTTTGTTATGCTTTAATTAACATTTTAAACACATAAGGCATATGGAAACATTAGATGGAGGAGCATTACACATTATAATCATGTAAACAGCATTGGCACACTTGCTTTCTGTCCCACTTGGTTATACAAAGCAGAATACATTTTTTAAACAAAGATTTTCCAAGTGCCTGTAGGGTGAGCATCACTCATATCACATGTTTGCACATCAACATAACTCAGACAGTACAGATCAGACCATATGCTTTAAGAGGCTCAGTCTAATGCATTTCACATCATGCTCATGTACTACTTGCCAGTCATTTTGCCATCACTAGGGTTTCATACAGAAGAGACTTCATTAGGCAACAATAGTGCTTTCACACTTTGCCTGATAGCAGCTGCAAGTGGCCAACATTTTGTGCTGATTAAAGCCTGAGGCTCACACTGCCTTTTTCTTGTCACTGATCACTCAATTTTAGTTTAATACAGGTGGGAAAAAAAATAAACAGCTAAACTCCTCCCCAGCCCAAAGCACTTAGGGGGGTCATATTCCATTGAGCAAACTGAGGCTGCTTTCCTTCCAACTCCTACACTTGGCATGCAACACAAATGAACAAGAGAGAAACTGAAGAGTCAGAGGTGACAGAAGTTGCTTGATGATAGCAAAGGGTTGCATTTTGCCCAAGTCTAAAAGTGTCAGTCTGGGAATGCAACTATAGCAATGACACTGGAGTAGCACTAGGACAGGCATCCCTGCCAGGGGGATTACTTTGAATTACTCATGCTTTTCACCTGACAGTCTCTCCTCATAGCAGAACCTTTGGATCAGACAGTGTAAATCAACACTGAATTGTACTTCTGATTGCAGTAATGGCACACACAGTTTAAGAACAGGCATCTCCCATTTCCTTGATAGTATGACTTTGCCCTAAAAAGTTAAGCAACACTGAATGGAATGATTCTTTTGTTTGTTTTGCTTTGGTCCTTAAGTGTACAAACATGCTGGTTAACTTTAATTCATTAAGACACTTGAAATTGTTTTACATAGGTTATTGATCCATAAAATGTTTATCCATTAAAAAAGTAAAAATAAGGACTACTAAAACAAAACTAGAACACAGCATTAACCCTGGCCTGTCTGTAGAAAACATGATTGATACTGAAGAACATAAAAACAGTGCTCAGCTCTAACAGAAGGCTATAGCAATTGATTAGTACTCACACCCTGATAAGGCTTTCAGGCACATGCAGGTAGCAAATACACGAGCAGTTCCCCTAAGAGCACAGAGAGCCTGATTATTTCCAGAGGACCAGCTCTGAGCTAAACTTTCACCCTGGGAGGAAGAGCTGCAATGAAGTGGCAGCTATAAGGCAGCTCTTTTGGCTGCAGGAGTGCAGATGTCCAGGAGAGCCACACACAGCCCATGACACTTGCAAAAAGAAAATCATATTCACGCTAAGTCAAACTACAACAACAGTGTTCACAAACTAGAGCAAGAATGATAACGTTTTTTGGCAGTACTTTGAAAGGCCAGAATGGAGGAGGGTGACTTCCTAGTTCTTACAGACATGCAAAAGAAGGCACCAAGATGCTACGCTATGGTGTATCGTAAGGCAGCAAGGCAGAGAGGCCCTGCAGCACACTGCAGAACTCCCACTCCTCTTCTACATTTCATGAGGAGGGCCTGGGCAGTGAAAACCTTGCTGTGCTGCCTAATCTGAGGCCATTCAAGTAAGGCACTGAACATGCTCTTGGCTGACAGTAAAGCAAGGAAAGGATGTTATGGTAAAACAGTTGGCTAGATTTCCCTTTTACAACTGCAGAACTGAAGATGTGCAGCATGGTGCTGCTCTTTCATCAAGGTGAAGTCAGGCTCCACGAAGGAGACTTTCCATTGCAGCAGCCATTCTGTTGTCAGATTTGGTAAAGTTGCATTAGACACTGATGAATTTAATCTAAATTAGCAAGATAGGGGCATGTTGAAAGGAGAGACAGCAAGATTTTGGATTCAGATATGTCAGAAGTTGTGCTTCTGAATTTCACGTGGCCATACTGGTGGTGGTGGTGTTCCATGGAACAATGGGTGTCTGTGTCCAGACTCCAGCCCTTCTCTAGGGCCATAGATAATGGGGCTGTGTTAAAGCTAAGCAGAGTAAGTCCTCTGGAGCATCTGCCCATGTATTTTAATAGGCACCAGAACTAAGCACCTGAAATTTAAGCTGAACTGATGCTTGCAGCACTGGTCTGGGAACAGAGAGGAAGAACTCATACACTTAATCTGCCTAGAACTGCCCCCCCATCCCCTGACAGTGTTTGTTCTCCAGCAGATAAAGGGCTTCACCAGTGGGTCCACTTGCCCATGGATCTCCTTCCCACTTTGGAGTCAGGACAGGCAGGACTCCAAGCAGCCAACATTTGTTTCTGCAGCCTGATCTCATCCACAGCAGGCAGTGCTCCTTGATGCTCTCAGGTTTACCTTTTAAAATCCCAAATGGAGCCTAAAGCACTGCAGCATCTATAATCGATGGCAAAGCCTCAAACTGCTAAAGGAAGCACACATCACACTGTGGTCACCCAGGGCTGGAAGCCAGGTGGAGCAAGGAGGGGAAGTCCTCACAGGACTAGGTTTGGGTGTGTGCAAAGTTCTGTTTCCAAACACAGTGAACATAGAAAAAAGGAAGAGAAACTAAATTCTAGCCCAGGACGAGCATCCTTGGCACTTCTTAAAGCCTCAGTGCTGGGAGGGAGCTGGCAGAGTCCCAACACTTGCAGCTCCAGGGAAAGAAGTGTGAAGCCCTACTGCCATGAAGCACTGACCATAACGTGAGAGAGCCTAGCCTGAGAGCTCACTAGAAAGGAACAGAAAGCCTGACTGGAACTGTTCCAGATACCGATGCCAAGAGGCTCAGCAGAGCTGGACATTTTGCCACCTATGCTGATAATTCAATGACAGGTACCACCAGGTGATTTGTTACACATGGAATCCAGAGCCCCACAAAGCAGGCTGGCAGGATTGTTCTTGCAGGCTGCTTTGCAATGTCTCCTCAGCACACAGGACACAGCACAAAGCAAGCAAAAACACAGGCTTATTTGGTCCCAACTTGCTGAAGTCTGATTCAGTAGTGCAGCTCTTGGAAATACAAGGACAAGGGTGAAGCTTAATCTTAACAATATCAACTTGAAGCCCAACATTAATGAAGAACAGATCCAACATCAAACGTTCCAGTCATCTGAGACAAAGTTCAATCCTTGTGCTCTCTAACAATCAGACACAGTTTAGATCTCCCTTTACAGTTTGAAATCAGTAACTGAACATCAAGTTACTCAGCTGAAACTCTTCTTCTGTACTCACACAGCAGCACAGCCTGCCAGGTTCCTTACACACCACACAGAGAAGTGACTACAAATTAAATGCAATACCCTATGGACTCAAGAATGCCAGGATGGTTATTTATAAGGCAAAGACAACATGATATGCTATTATCTCACTGGTGTTAGAGGCCTGTGAAAGCAGAGGGAAGAAAGCATGGTTAGTGTGAACAGGAGAGCAGCCAGGGCTGCAACTAAACTGAGGCGGCCATGCTGTTCCTCTGGCTATTAAGAAGCATTCTCAGTCTGGCCCCTTCTCCAGCTGAACATGCTTCTCAAAGGTGACAGTGCAAGCATTCCAGCATGGGCTGGGTGTCTGTGGAGATGCCTGGCAGCAGAACATTTTACATCTTCATGGTGACAATCTATGCAGCTGTTAAGCATCAACTGCTTTAAAGCTGCAGCTATGCTGCCAGAAAGAAAAATAACATTAGTTGAGAACTCCAGTATGGAAGCAAGGGATTAGAAAAATGTACAAAATAACCAGGCTTCAAAACAGAGAGCTAGCGCATAAGGCATATCTGCAGAGGGTCAGTCACAGCAAGAGCATGCAAACTTCATCTGAGCTTTAACCACAATGTTCTTGTACTGGTAATAATGCAAGCTACCGATCTGTCCATTTCCAGGCCCCAAAGAGAGCAGCAAGTTAAACCACAAATTCACAATCTGCACGCATCTCTCTCCTCCTTAGTTCTCTGCCTTTTTGGATTCTTCCTTGGGTGCCTCAGGAACCAGGATGACCTTTCCAACGTTCTTCTTCTCTTGCATGTGTTTCATGGCATCTGCCACCTGGAAACAGTGGGAATCTCATGAAACTACCTACAGCCATCCCACGGTGCAACCAGGATCCCCCCAGATCCCCTTGGTCCACCCAAAGACAGAGGCATGCAGAAGGCAGCTCTCCCTGTAGTAACTCTGCACAGCTGTATTTTGGACAGAGCTAGCATTTGCAGAACCCTAACCCTAAACCCTTATGCATTTATATCCTCTTATGCATTTATATCAGAACAGTTCTCAGGTACTAATTCCAACTGATTCTCAAGTCCTTTCCTCCTCTGCAATAACTTCTACCCCAGCAAGTAATAATATAATAAACTGACTCTGCTTGGACAACATGGAGCATGGCAGAGCTGTTGGGAGAGCTGCAGCTTCTCTTCCCACATTCTGCTTCGCTGTCTCAGCCCCCTTCTGTCCTGGAGGCCACTGTCCTGGTTTCAGCTGGAACAGCTAGTTTTTTCCTCATAGTGCATGGCATAATACTATGTTTTGGCTTTGTGAGAAAAACAATGTTGATAACACAGCAATGGTTTTGTTGTTGTAGAGCAGTGCCGCACAGAGCCAAGGACATTTCAGCTTTTTGTACTGTCCTGGCAGCAAGGGGCTGTGGGAAGCACAAGGAGCCAGGAGGGTACAGAACCAGGTACAGAACTTACCCCAACTGGCCAAGGGATATTCCAAACCATAGGTCATCATGCAAA